AAAAATGGTGTTTCCACAGAATACGAAATTAAAATAACAAGCTTTTAGTTACCTGCCGTTAACGAGAAACAAAGTGAAATGAACTTATTTTGATGTAGAAATACAAAATGCATTAGCTGTGAGATTACAATTTTTCAGCGTCTTAATGACACCCTGTTTGGCCCTTCTTCGTCAACATAATCCATAAGTTATATAAATTTGTGTTACGCAAATCGTTGTTTATGTGTATTCTAGTTAGAAGATTAGATAGACATTCAGCATGTGCTGAAGCATGTATTGTTAAATGCGCCATTACATGTACATACTGCAATTGCTAATTTAGGATTTTGTACTTATTTAGACGTTCATTTCTTTATCCTTGTAATTATAGAATATACAGTAATATTATTTTTTTAACTTCTTATCCCGGTGTTGTCTTGAATGGCCCTAGAAAATATTGTACCATTATTTATTTAAAATACCTTATCTCTCCATATTTGGAGGTTATCCTAGTGTAAATTGACAAATATAAGCCTTCTATATTTATGACGACAAGTGTTGATCATGTTACCATACCAGAAACAAACAGATTGATTCTTAGAATATTTATGATGATAATCGATGATTGAGTTACCTAAACACAACAATTGCAGGCCTCTTGTCCAGAATTTATGAAGGTAACCATTGACAGGGTAACTATACTAAAATCAGACTGATACACATTCTAGCCGAAACAGATTTATAGTAATAAATTATGACAACAAATGAGACCTAATTTCTCATAAAAACTCAATTATAAAATCAAGCTTTAACCAGGTGCATTGCGAAAACTACAACAACATTATAAAGCAGTGGCTATAGGTTCTATTGAAACTGCAAAAAAACATTATCGCGATAAACCCTTTATATGGTGGCTGATTTGTGCCATTTGTGTTTTCGTCCCGCGACACCGCCAAGCAAAAAGTCGAGAATTAACAAGTTAAAATGGCGGGGTCGCGGAGCGAAAACACGCTAATAAGCGGGGGCGCGCGGCGAAAATTAATAAAAAAACTTCGCCCCGCGAGGGCGCGGAGCGAGAATTAAGAAATAAAACCGCGGGGGCGCGGTGCGAAGTTTAATGAAATAAATCTTCGCCCCGCGCCCCCGCTTATTAGCGTGTTTTCGTCCCGCGACCCCGCAGAGCAAAAAGTCGAGAATTTACAAGTTTAAATGGCGGGGTCGCGGGCGAAAACACGCTAATTAGCGGGGGCGCGCGGCGAAGTTTAACAAATAAAACTTTGCCCCGCGAGGGCGCGAAGCGAGAATTAAAAAATAAAACGGCAGGGGCCCGGGGCGAGGTTTAATAAAATAAAACTTCGCCCCGCGCCCCCGCTAATTAGCGTGTTTTCGTCCCGCGACCCCGCCAAGCGAAAAGTCGAGAATTAACAAATTAAAATGGCTGGGGCGCGGGGCGAAAACACGAATGGCACAAATCAGCCACCATACCTTTATGATAAATAAATAATGAAAAAGTTAATAGTACTTCTGCCGTCAATGAACGCTTTAGTGTCAACATGGTATTAAAATGAGAGAGTATGGGCGATTTAGCTTCTTTGATTACTGATACCATCTATATATTTTTCAACGTTCATTCTTAACCTGCATTTTTTATTGAACTTTATACAATAGAGAAAAAAGATCCCCAAAAACGGCAAAATTTAAAACTTGATGTTGTATAGTGTCTTGTGTAAAAATTTCTTTTTAACATTTAACACCGTTGCTAATGTTTCTGTATTACTAAATACATTGTTTATTATTTTAAAGTGTTGAGATTTTTGCCATTTTCAAATACCTCGTGTTATTTCGGTCAACCGTACCAAATACGTCTTTTAAGTTTGAAAACATTCATTTGACCACCTTACAAAACCCCAAAGTCATGTTTGTATTCTAAATGGATCTATATCCATTTTTAAAAACTTTTTCTTACTACCAAGTAACGTTACAGTATATTTGTATTTATAAACAAATTATATTTGGTAGATTATTTTTCAAGTACCGATGCCAGCAATAATTTTGTTCTGCTAGAATTTCTGTCAATGAAAACCCTCTATATTGTCGTGTTTTTTGTTGTTGTTTTTTTTTTCATTTTGGAAGCTATTCAATAATACATCTTGGTTCATTATTTATATAAAAAATGATGCTCTTGAATGTGTATTAGGTGTTGTTATGGATTTATAAAATCAAACATCTATCGTTTTGGTTCATTTTGATATTTCATTAAAAACACTTTCGAATAATAATATAAGCTAAAATATAAGACTGGCCCTGATCAGTTATCTTTAGATTTTCAGGGGCCATAATTATCCTCGTTTGAATATAGGTAATAAATGTTTCAAGAATCAAGAAAGATGTTTTTTGTAAGATACAAATACTTACAGGAAACTGTAATTAACAATTTAATTGCATGACCTCATTTATTTTAAGATGGATCTTGTGTTATGGTTGAATTATAACAGTTTATAAATGCTTTACATTAATAGTACGATATAGAACCGCATAGTGACGTAATAAAGTGAATAATAATGAGGACAGATAAAGCTTGACACTTCGTATGTTGGTATTCATCCGTAGCTGTTCTACAGAAATTAGAAACATTATCCTGTCGCTATCGCTCCCGTCGAAGTTTCTTATTTCTGTACGGATGTACACAAACATATACATGGGTCTTACCAGCTACTGGTATTCCTGTGACAATAGCTATTCCATTAGCTGCATTTATCATTCCAAATCCAAAAGGACTTTGAGATTTGTTTAGATAATGGACAATAACTGCAGTATGTAGGCCAAAGTACCCCCCTACAACGGAAAAAAAAGATGCAAATGAACATAGAAATATACAAAGTATTCAAATAAAATATATTACATTATAATTGATATATTTCTCAAACTCTGAATTATCTTACAGTTTGTTTGACTTTCTTTGAACTGCATACGAAAAAAACAGTTTCATCTTTTATGAAAAGTAAAATTTAATCGATTTACCCGAGAACAATCCAAACAGCACCGATAAAAGAATCACTAATATAAGCGACTGTTCGATGATAATCGATAAAGTCTATGCAGCAAGTCCAAGAAGTGAAAAGCTATGGATCCAGCGCACATGTTTATTGAATTTACATGCAATTGCTCCACTTATTAGACGACCAATTAAGTTTCCAAAGCCCATTATAATGACACAAAATGATATTTCTTTCGGGGAATATCTTGCATATCGCATAAAATCAGGAAGAAATGTTGAAGGAACGATGAGGACTGTGAACGTAATGAGACTAGAGAGGAAGAACAACATGAATTTTCGATTTTTGATAACCTGCAGAATGTCCTTTCTTGTATTTATAGGGTCTGCTCTACCTTTTGGCTGGACCGTGGTATCTTGAAAAGAATCAGAATAATTAACATAAATTATAGCCTATAATACGATATTTTCAAGTAGACGATATTCATAAACAAAGACAAAAAAAATCATAAATGTGTTAAATATAAATACCTCTAAATGAAATTCTGGGGAAAAAATCTGATATTTGTAGCCCGTAACATAATTTTAAGCATTTGAACATCATTTAATTTTTTGGTAAATGTAATAATTGATACTGTTTATAGAAATGAAACGTTTAATTATAATTATTTCGCAAATTTTGAGCATATTGTATAAACAAATGGTGCACAACAAAATGACACTATTGAAATTGGTATGACAGAATATGTTTTTGTCTTGATCAAAACCAAAACGTTCACCAGGAAAACACGAAAATGAAGAAATTGTCGTGCTTTCTTTTATAGATTTGAAAGGTATGAAACTAACCGTCATTGGATTTATCTTCGGCTTGATGTATTTCCGTGTCACTTTGATGTGGTGCAAAACATGCAGCACTGAACAAACCAAAGGCTGATGTTCCACTTAGCAACAGAAATGTTGTTTTCCATCCGTAACTTTGGATATACTCTGTCAATACAGGTGGAAATACCAGAGAGCTTACAGCTGATGTTTGAACATTGAATAACCGCTTTAAGGGGAGTTCTATTCATTGAAATATCAATACAGAAATGAGCCGCGTCACGACAAAACCAACATAATGGGTTTGCGACCAGCAGGGATCCAGACCAGCCTGCGCATCCGCGCAGTCTGATCAGAATCCATGCTGTTCGCTTACAAACGCTATAACAAGTAGAGAAACTGATAGCGAACAGCATGGATCCTGATCAGACTGCGCGGATGCGCAGGCTGGTTTGGATCCATGCTGGTCGCAAACCCATTATGTTGGTTTTGTCGTGACGCGGCTCATATAATCTTATCATTACATGTAACACTTTAAATTAAAACAACTTCCGTTATTATATCTGTTGGACTACAGTTTTAAATTAGTTTTTTTTTCTGCATTGTTTTTTTTATCAATAATTTAGACATATAAAACGGGCAAATTAAATTAATAATAATAATAATAATAATAATAATAATAATAATAGACAAAGTTATCGGGTATAACTTTGATATCATAGTATTCTTGTACTTAAGAAATAACTATTGATTGAAATACGCCTGATTGTGTTATGAATTGAGTTTGATATGGGTTACCTGTTTAATAAAAGTAATATGACTAATGATAAGACTTAAAATTTTCACACGAAGTGTCTTAAAATCGGAAGCATACGAGTATATAACTGATGTGCATTCATGTAGAGTATCAATGCAAAGCTTTGATCATGATGTTGAATTTTAAGTAACATCAGCACCTTAAAGGTCATATGGCGACGTGCTCGCACTTAACCTCAGATGCCCCTTCATGCATTATTAAATGAGCGTATATCTATTACAGAAGTACGCGAAGGAATTAGGCGTTTAAAGCGTAACAAAGCTTCATGTCCAGCTGACAATTTACTAAATGAATATTTTTTAAATGCAGCTGACATTTTAGACGGGCATTTAGCGGATTTATATAACATTGTTTTTGATTCAGGTGTCTTTCCAGAGAAATGGACCGAAGGTTTCATTATACCGCTACATAAAAAAGGTGATGTGAATAACGTCAATAATTATCGTGGTATAACGTTATTGAGTAATCTCGGTAAATTGTTTACGGGGATTTTAGATGCGCGAGTCGTTAAGTGGTGTGAGAGTCAAAATAAATTACCAGATGCGCAATTCGGTTTTAGAAAAAATCATAGTACCGTAGATGCAATCTTTGTACTGCAGAATTTAATAGAGCAAAGCCTGAACGACAAAAAACGTCTGTATTGTGCTTTCGTTGATCTGAAAAAAGCATTTGATTCGGTGAACCGTGACGCGTTGTGGTTTAAACTGTACAAAAAAGGATTAAATGGTAAAATTTTAACAATGTTTAGAAACATGTACAATATTGTAAAGTCTAGTATAAAATTTAATAATGAATTTTCTGATTTTGTTGAAATCGCGGTGGACTTACGTCAGGGGCAGACAAATTCGCCGACATTTTTTTCCTTATTTATTGAAGACATCGAATCGTTTTTGCAGCAAGATAAAACAACTGGCCTAATGTTACCTTTGGTTACTTTGTATCTAAATAAAAGATTACAAATCCAAATAGGCTTGGGTTCACATATACATTTATTAATAGTTCACTGTGTTATTATGTTGATAAACAAATAAATATAAATAATCACTGTATCACTCTTAAAATGTCTCAAACCATTATATCACTGTTCCTGCACTCTGTTTCACATTACACTATCACAGTCAACTAGAGTACCTAGTTAACAAGTCCAGCACACTGAAAACATACAAAATGTCACTAAATGCCTATTCACTTAATGTCTCATCTTTGCAGGGTTATCTCCCTCTAATTCACAATATATAATGTTAAAAACACATTAAATCATAATGATCAATAGTTCATATTTGATACTTATTATTAAGTGGTTCTAGTGGCTTTTTATTAACCCTTAACAATAATATCAAGTTACATTAAAATATATTACAGTTACATTACATACATACAATAAATGGTCAGTTAAAAGTTACAGCAATAACTTACACATAATAATAACACAATTATAATATATAATGATGACTTACCAATTTGTGAAATTGTATGCTCTAAACAATATCAAACCATCTAATTAACTCTACTCCAATCAACAAACACTTCATTCACACAGTGACTGGGTGCTGCAAATTATCAAATAAAGAATGCATATTATTAAGAACAATGTGCATGACAGAAAGAGTTAAGTGAAGTTAAAAAGGAATGCTATTTCTGAACCATCTCAATTCTTTACTAAATTCTAAATACATGAAAATCATGAATTTACTTCTCAAATAAATATACACTGTTTACATGAAATACAGAAGTTATTGCCGAACAATAAACTTTAAAATACCATAATACTTATTCCAAATCCTTAAAACAAATAAAACAAATCATAAGCACAACTATTCTCTATTGAAAATACTTTTCAACTCCCGCAAAATCATCAAACTAAACACATTTGGAGGGAAATACAAAGCATCTGATTGGTTAAAAATACAATTAAAAATAATAATCCAAGGGAAGTAACTGGAATCAACCCAACTGTATTTAAAGCACGAAAAGACGACCCTGTTACACTAACCATTAATGAAATTTGTCTTGTAATTTTGTTATTTGCAGATGATATGGTAATATGTGGCGATTCTGTAGACGATTTACAATCGAGACTGAATTCTTTACGCGAATATTGTGAAAAATGGGGGTTAGAGGTAAACAGTGCAAAAACCAAAATTGTTGTTTTTAGGAAACGAGGGCCAGTTAAAAGAAATGAACATTTCATTTATAATGATGAACAGTTAGAAATTGTTGATGATTTCAATTATTTGGGAATAACGTTGAATTACACTGGTACTTTCGCTTTAAATATAAAATGTCTAAAAGGCAAAGCACTTAGGGCGTTGCACACATTGTTAAATAATATCAAAAGATATAACATTCGTCCGGATATTTCATTGCAACTTTTTGATGCATTCGTAGGATCGATATTAAATTATGGTTGTCCTATTTGGGGGTTTACTAAGTCTTGTGAATTAGAACGTATTCATCTACAGTTTTGCAAAACAATCCTTGGTGTAAAACAATCGACAAGTAACGCAGCTATATATGCAGAATTGGGTCGCTATCCTTTATATGTATTTCGTTTTGTACATATTATTAAATACTGGGTCAAGATTATCAATACGGATAATATGCTATTAAAATCAGTTTATGCACATTCATTGACGCAGTATTATAATGGTAGAAAGAATTGGGTTTTCCATGTTAAAAAACTGCTTGATGATTATGATTTTAGCTCTGTTTTTGTAAATCATGAAAACATAAATTTCAAATTATTTGTAAATTTGTTCAAGAAAACAGTAACGGATTGTGCCTTATAAAAACTATTTGGAGATATTGAGAAAAATGAAATACTGAAATCCTTGTACATACATTTAAAACCGAGCTTTGGTATATCGGATTACTTGATTAAAATAAATTCGTTTAAAATACGTAGTAGCATAACTAGATTGCGCGTGTCGTCGCATAATTTATTTATGGAATCTCTTAGACATGGGCGTAGTCGAAAACCAAGAAATGAAAGATTATGTTATTTCTGCGGTAATGACATAGAAGATGAATTTCATTTTATAATCACATGCAAAAAATATTCTGACCTGAGAAACAAATTCATACCAAAATATTATGTGAAAAATCCGAGCATGTACAAATTTATTGATTTATTAAGTTCTAAAAAGAAAAAAGTCTTGTTAAATTTGGGAAATTTTATAGCACAAGCATTTGAACGCAGGGAATTAAATCAACCGAATCTTCAGACATAATTATAAAAATGTTATCTTGTTAGTAATATTACTTTATTTCTTTTCATTCTCCATGTTTTGTTAATGCAGTCCAAAGATGTAGTTTTATCATTGTTTGACACTTTGCTACTAAATAATGTTAACTTTGATGATTACGTGATGTTTAATTATATTTGAATGTATGTATTTTGTGACCATGTGCATTTTGTACACGTCTTATATGAATAAACTAACATTATTTCAGGCATGTTTGCCCAAAGTCCTGTTCTATTGGAACGGTAAAGGGTAAGTGGTTTGAAGTCAGCGCCCTTAACCACTCATACAAGACGGTTACCACTTAAATTTTAATTACATTTTGAATGTGTTTTTTTAAACATTTCCATTCTAGTATTATAATGAAAATTGAGCCACGTCACGACAAAACCAACAAAGTGCGTTTGCCACCAGCATGGATCCAGACCAGCCTGCGCATCCGCGCAGTCTGATCAGGATCCATGCTGTTCCCTTACTAACTCTATTACAAGTAGAGAAACTGATAGCAAACAGCTTGGATTCTGATCAGACTGCGCGGATGCGCAGGCTGGTCTGGATCCATGCTGGTTGCAAACGCACTATGTTGGTTTTGTCGTGACGCGGCTCAAATTTAATTTATTCAATAATACCACTAATGATGCCATATGAGATATATAGCTTGCTGATCTCTGAAGCAAAACTACTTGATATCATTCCAGCGATTAAGAGAAGAACTCCAACAACCGTTAGCCATCTTTCGCTGATCTTCTGTAGTAAAAAACCTAGCGGAAAACCTGAAATAAAGCGTTTCTTGCCTCTAGTTAATACGAAATTAATAGGATTAATCAAACTTTTCAATTATGCCGTTTTGAGCGTTCTTCAGAACTTATTTGTCTCTTTTGTTATTTTTGATTGACAAACATTAGTTGCTTAACGTTAATCTGTTATGTATTTCTTTGATTGAATCTACATCAAAGAATTATTGCTTGACTTCATGTGAAATGACTATCGGTATGAAAACGACTTAAATATATGTTTATTTGTATCTTAACAATGGTAGCTACTGTTAATACATGTACTATTTTACCAACGCATTTGTGACTGTAAAGTAAAATAATCTCAAGAATTGTTCACTATTATTTTCAGTAGATTTGTATCATGGCATAGTCGACATCGCCTTCTCTTCTTAAACAAATATTAACAGAATCCTAAATGTATGTCCACTTACTTTTGAAACTTATCATTGTTTATTTGTTCCATTTAGGATAGAATAAAAACTAATCATAAAAAGAATAATTTAGAAAATTGACCTTTTTACCTGAAAGTCCAAGAAGACCATTGTGCAGTGATACAATCCAGACAGTTTCTGTATGCGATGTTGCAAATATTGTTTTTATTTCACTGTATAGGATACCGAAAGACACGCCCATACCTATTGAGACAATATGAGCCAAATGACTGCCTAAAACAATCAAAACATTTAAACAAAGCGACTTCATTTTTAAATCTTGCTTTCGATGATGCCCGAAGCGATATTGAATTCCAAAAGTATGCGGTAAATCTTCTCTTCGTTAATATTTAAATCTATTCCCAAAGTATCTACAGATACATTAACTGGTATGTGAGAAGTTAGCAGTTAACAGTGAGCTAAGCAAAAAGGCATTACGATTTATATAGGGAAATCAATGATCTGCTGTTATGCTCAGCTGGGTAAGCAATCTAGCAGAGCATTCCAAAATAAAGTGTAGAAATGCTTTGCTGGTATGCTAAGCTGGGTAAGCAATCTAGCAGGCCATTACTAAATATAGTGTAAAAATGCTCTGCTGGCATGCTCAGCTGGCTAGGCAATCTAGCGGGGCGTTCCAAAATATAGCGTAAAAATGCTCTGCTGGTATATATGCTCAGCTGGCTAGGCAATCTAGCAGGGCATTCCTAAATATAGTGTAAAAAAACTCTGATGTTATACTCAGCTGGCTAAGCAATCTAGCAGAGCATTCCAAAATATAGTGTAAAAAGCTCTGCTGTTATGCTCAGCTGGCTAAGCAATCTAGCGGGGCATTCCAAAATATAGTGTAAAAATGCTCTGCTGTTATGCTCAGCTGGCTAAGCAATCTAGCGGGGCATTCCAAAATATAGTGTAAAAATGCTCTGCTGTTATGCTCAGCAGGCTAAGCAATCTATCGGGACATTCCAAAATAAAGTGTAAAAATGCTCTGCTGTTATGCTCAGCTTGGTAAGCAATCTAGCGGGGCATTCCAAAATATAGTGTAAACATGATCTGCTGTATGCTCAGCTGGCTAGGCAATCTAGCAGGGCATTCCTAAATATAGTGTAAAAAATGCTTAGCTGTTATGCTCAGCTGGCTAAGCAATCTAGCGGGACATTCCAAAATATAGTGTAAAAATGCTCTGCTGAATTGCTCAGCTGGCTAGGCAATCTAGAAGGGCATTCCTAAATATAGTGTTAAAAATGCTCAGTGGCTAGGCAATCCAGCAGAGCATTCCTAAATATAGTGTAAAAATGTTCTGCTGGCAACTCAGCTGGCTAAGCAATCTAGCAGAGCGTTCCAAAATATAGTGCGAAAAATGCTCTGCTGGTATGCTCAGCTAGCTAAGCAATCTAGCAGGGCATTCCTAAATATAGTGTTAAAAATGCTCAGCTGGCTAGGCAATCCAGCAAAGCATTCTGAAAATTAGTGTAAAAATGTTCTGCCGGAATGCTGAGCTGTCTAGGCAAACTAGCAGGGCATTCTTAAATAAAGTATAAATTTCGTTGGTCTGCAACTGATTATTTGGCACTCGTAGACTTTCTGAAATATTTAGTGCCAATGCAGATAATGACATTTTTGACTTCTACGGGACCCTCAAGTGTCTATTTCTTTGGTCTCCGACTGATTCTGGGACGATCGCAGACTTTCAGGAATTTTTGGTGTTAATGCAGATAATGACATTTGTGAATTTTTAGGACCATCCAGAGTCCATTTCGTTGGTCTGCGAATGTTTCTGGAACACTCGCAGACTTTCAGAAATTCGGTGCCAATGGAGATAATGACATTTTTACTTCAAAAGGACCCTCCTGAGTCTATTTCGTTGGTCTGCGACTGATTCTGAGTCACTAGCAGACTTTCAGGAATTTTGGTGTCAATGCAGAAAATGATATTTCTGACTTATTGGGACCTTTCTGAATCCATTTTTGGTCTACGACTGATTATGAGGCACGCACAGACTTTCAGGAATTTTTGATGTCAAGGCAGAGAATGACATGTTTTACTTCTAGGGACCATCCAGGATCCATTTGTTTGGTCTGCGACTTAATCTTGGACAGTCACAGACTTTCAGGAATTGTTGGTGCCAATAGAGATAATTACAATTTATGACACTTTTGACCATCCAAAGTCTATTTCGTTGGTCTGCGACTGATTATTGGGCACTTGCAGACTTTCAGGAATTTTTTGTGCTAATGCTCATAATGACATTTTAGGGTAAAAATGCTCTGCTTATGACTAAGGGGTCCTTAAAAGTAAAAAAGTCATGATCTGCAATGGCACTAAACATCCTGAAAGTCTGCGAGTCTCAAGGAATCAGTCGCAGACCCAAGAAATGTACTCTGGCGGTTCCCTAAAAGTCAGAAATGTCATTATCTCCATTGGCATTAAAATTCCTGAAAGTCTGCAAGTGTCCCAAAATCAGTCGCAGACCAGCGAAATAAACTCTGGTGGGTCGCTAGAAGTCAAAAATGTCATTATCTCCATTGGCACCAGAGATTCCTGAAAGTCTGCGAATGTCACAGAATCAGTCGCAGACCATAAAAATGGACTCTGGTGGGTCCCTAGAAGTAAAAAATTGCCATCATCTCTATTGGCACCAACTTTCCTGAAAGTCTGCGAGTGTCCAACAATACGCTGCAGGCCAATGAAATGGACTCTTAAAGGTCGCTAGATGTCAAAAATATGATTATTTCCATTGGCACCAACCATTCCTGAAAGTCTGTGAGTGTCCAAGAATCAGTCGCAGACGACCAAAATGGACTCTTGAGGGTCCTAGAAGTCTTAATTGTCAATATCAGCATTGGCACCAAATTCCTGAAAGTCTGCGAGTGTCCTTCAAAAAGTCGCAGGACAATGAAATAGTCTCTTAAAGGTCCTTAGAAGTCAAAAATATCATTATTTCTATTGGCACCAAAAATTCCTGAAAGTCTGCGAGTGCCTCAGAATTGCCTAGAAGTCGAAAATGTCAATGAAACTTTGGCAACAATAAATCCTGGAACTCAGAATCAGTCTGCCAACTGAGCATTCCACCAGAGCATTTTTTAACTATATTTCGGATTGCCTAGCCAGCTTAGCATTCCAGCAGAGCATTTTTACACTATATCTAGTAATGCTCTGCTAGATTGCCTAGCCAGCTGAGCATTCCAGCAGAGCATTTTTTCACTATATTAAGGAATGCTCTGCTATAGTGCCTAGCCAGCTGAGCATTCCTGCAGAGCATTTTAACACTTTATTTAGTAATGCCCTGCTAGATTGCCTAGCCAGCTTAGCATTCCAGCAGAGCATTTTTACACTATATTTCGTAATGCTCTGCTAGATTGCCTAGCAGCTTAGCATTCCACCAGAACATTTTTACACTATATTTAGAAATGCCCTGCTAGATTGCCTAGCCAGTTTAGCATTCGAGCAGAGCATTTTTACACTATATTTAGTAATGCCCTGCTAGATTGCCCAGCCAGCTTAGCATTCCAGAAAAGCATTTGTTCACTATATTTAGTAATGGCATGCTAGATTGCCTAGCCAGCTTAGCATTCCAGCAGAGCATTTTTACACTGTATTTAGTAATGTCCTGCTAGATTGCCTACCCAGCTTAGCATTCCAGCAGAGCATTTTTACACTTATATTTCGTAATGCTCTGCTAGATTGCCTAGCCAGCTTAGCATTCCAGCAGAGCATTTTTTCACTATATTTAGGAATGCCCTGCTAGATTGCCTAGCCAGCTTAGCATTCCAGCAGAGCATTTTTTACACTATATTTAGTAATGTCCTGCTAGATTGCCTAGCCAGCTTAGCATTCCAGAATAGCATTTTGTACACTATATTTAGTAATGTCCTGCTAGATTGCCTAGCCAGCTTAGCATTCAAGCAGAGCATTTTTACACTATATTTAGTAATGTCCTGCTAGATTGCCTACCCAGCTCAGCATTCGAGCAGAGCATTTTCTCACTATATTTAGTAATGCCCTGCTAGATTGCCTAGCTAGCTTAGCTAGCCAGCTGAGCATTCCAGCAGAGCATTTTAACACTATATTTAGTAATGCACTGCTAGATTGCCTAGCCAGCTTAGCGTTCCAGCAGAGCATTTTTTCACTAAAGGTAGGAATGCTCTGCTAGATTGCCAAGACAGCTGAGTATTGCAGCAGAGCATTTTTACACTATATTTAGGAATGCCCTGCTAGATGCCCAAAACAGCTGAGCATTACAGCAGATCATTACCTTCCCTATATAAATTGAAATGCCTTTTTGCTTAGCTCACTGTTCACTGCTAACTTCTCACATTTAATACCAAATATATTAAAACATGCATTATTTTGTTTATTATTTGTTTACCTGAATGCATTTGTTATGAATACGATTTACCAAAATTATAATTAATAAAAAACGTGTCATTTTAGCAAATTGAAAGCAGTATATATTACATTTTCACTAAGTAAATATCCATTATCGATTTCTTTGTATGTATGTTTATGACTGAAAGATGGAAACCATGTCGTTCTAGAGAGTTGTGCCCTACGTGGATCTAGATGATAAATGAAAATTTTATGTCCCAGTATCAATAATAGAACAGAACAGAGGGATTTAGTTTTTTAGTCTAAAATTAATCTTAACATGCGTCTCTTTTTTAATTTATTTGCTTGTGTTATTGTCATTTTTATCTTGATTTTTTAAGCGACAAAGCAAAAAAACGTTTCAGTATTATAGCAAAAATCAGGGTGTGTGTGTGTGCACCTGTGTGTGTGTTCACTCTCGCCATCGGACTGAATCGCATAGGCGAGCATATACATACACTTCATTTAAGACATACTAATTTTATGAGGGACTATATACACGCAATAAAAAAAATAATAATATATAGTCATCATATCGAAACGATCAGAAACGATCACAACAGTGTGGCATCAAACTTCATTTTAAAGTTATAACATTTAAATCTAGAAATATGCCATACAGAACAAAACGCAATTATTAATTTTATGCACATACGTTAGGAACCATCAACGATATAGAAAAACATTGTGATATGTGCGCGCTTCGGTTCTTCACTTTTTTTTTATGCGTTTATTTTAAGGTCGCCGCCGGAAAGCCCATATGGGCGACCGTACACTCAAGTCGGGTCATCCTAGAGCGTCCCGCCGAGATTTTTCGTCGATTTTTTTCCAGCTTTATTGGTGGAGGAAGACCCCAGGTGCCCCTCCGGGCATTATTTCAGGCACGAGCGGGCACCTGGGTAGAACCACCGACCTTCCGTAAGCCAGCTGGATGGCTTCCTCACATGAAAGATTTCGACCCGAGTGAGGATCGAACCCACAGTGGTGAGGGACCTGTGATCTCAAGTCAGCGACTTTAACCACTCGGCCACGGAGGCCCGTCGGTTCTTCACGGTATATACGTCATCTTTTCAAAATGTTAAAGCCAATCACAATTCGAGAAATTCATGTGCGTTATTATAATAGTGCGTATAGTGTTGGTCATATAACATACTTCCTGTCCAAAAACGAATAGAGAGAAATAAATAAGATGGGTTACCTCTCATAGGAAGATGAAATTAACAAAAGATCGGAGAATTTATCGTTTAAAATGTTTTAAACCAAAAGACTAAAACGTTCGAAAAGAGTACCGCCATGCCAGCAATTGAACAGTTTGTATTCTGCTTTAATATATGATTTAAACATATTTTATTGCCAAAAATAAGACATATACATACATGTAGACAGTTACATGTAGACAGTTACAATACAATAACATGACATATTTGGCAAAAGGGTTGACCCACAAGTTCTCTCAACATTAGCAACGGGTCTTCCCTGATGCAATAAATTACAATAACTTATTTTACAAGAATGACTATCAGTTAGATAGAAGTAACAAAACTCACACATATATAGTACTTGGCTTTAAAAATGATTTTAGGTAAGAAAGAACAATAAAAATGATTGGGTGTACATGTTCTCTAGCTTGAATGGTATTTAACGATGTCAACTGATTTTTATATATTTGCGTTACAATGACTTAGAAAACATGTACATTTGCCGAATATAACAAAAACAAAAATAGATTTTGAGAAAATGAAATATATAAGAAAAAAATAGAAGAAGAAAGGAAAGAATCTTGTCTATTATTTTGCAAAAATGAAAGAAAAATACATTAATATTTATTGTGATTGTGTTGGTTTGTTTTCAAAATCAAAAGCGTTTGCTTACTTTTATGAAATGCTGAACAGTCAAAAATATTTTATTATTATTTTCTAAAGACAACTCTTTGTTACCAACTAAAAGTAATTGGACATTTAAAGGGTGAAATTGCCTTAATTCGTTAAAAAGATCAATTCTTTCATTTCGATATTTCGGACAAGTAAACAAAAAATGGTTAACATCTTCTATCTCATAACCGCACGAACAATTTGCATCCTGTGACAAATGATTGCAGAATAAGTGGAAATTTAAGTTACTGCATGCATTTCTCAGTCTGCAGTGTAAAACTGAGAGTTTTCTTTCACCTGTAAGGTACCATTTTGGAGTGTCTGTAGATCGAAAGGTTGATTTCTTTAATAGAGATTTAAAATGTGACAGAGTTTCTACAGATCTTGTTTCAGGTTGCAAGTTGTTCCATAGCATTACGGACGAAGGCACAAAAGAAGAAGAAAATATATGAGTCCGTCTGTTTAAAGTTGCAAAGTCTTCTGAGTTTCTAAGATTGTATGGTGTTGTATTATGAACTCTTTCTGGAAAAATATTACTTAAATAATCAGGAACGTCTCCATTATGAATTCTATATGTTAAAATAAGTTTTTGGTACGTTCTTCTATCAGATAGTGAGAGCCAATTAATTTCTTTATATAAATTTTGGAGAGAAACTGAACGGGTTAGGCCGCTTACGATATATCATGAATTCTTGTTCGTTAATTTACTAATTAACAGGGGTCACTTTTTGCTAAAACACTCGTATTATCTGATCATGAAAGGCATTAAAACACGTATATTTTGCCAGATGTAGGTCTGATGGGACAAACAACAATGTAGCTTAAAATTGATGCTTGATATTGAGATTATATAATAATAAATTTCATATGTTCCGGTTCAGATCGGGTAATCCGTCCCGAGGGGACTCCGCCAATTGGGCGGTAACGAGGCTTACTGAGTTACCGCCCATGGTCGGGTTCCCGAGGAACGGATATTCCGATCCGAACCGCAAACATGTCATGGAAATTAAAGTCATTTCATCCATAACTATTTTCTTACAACAGCGTATGAACTAACAACTTTAAAAACAACGGCAAAATGATGTCATCCTAAGCACATAGTTTCCTTCATTCATAAAGTGCGCTAAAATGACGTTGTTGTTTGGCACGCGACTCATCTGGCACCCCCATGCCAGATGAAATTTCCGGCATGGGTAAAACTCGCGGAAACGCCAGTCTGCTAGGCACGAAATCTATTTGTAAATTGCGAGAAAACAGAATAAAATCCACTAAAATGACACTGCACAAGTAAAGGCAGTAAGTCTTCATTAGAAAAAGACGGAGGAAATGTTTGTTCCTTCATGCGCATATATATGTAAGTATAGTAATTTACTTATGTAACCAGACAGAATGTTTAAATTTCAGACTATGTACCAGTAATTAGTTCGCGTTTCACGTCGAAGGTAACCAAGAACTGTAACCAGACCAGATACTATTGCTTAATCAACAATTAAATGTAGTCTGCACGTATTACATATATAATGAAAGCATTTGGTTTCATAGATTTTGAAATTATTTAAGATACAGAAATCTTTGTGCATGTTAATACAAGCAACAATGACGTTAACAAAAGAGCTATAATAATGTATTCTTCGGGCTTGAAGAGAAACTTTGATCTTATTTCCAACCACGCTATTCTACACAAAATGAAGGCTTAATTATGTGCTTGTGTGTTTGGAACTGCATTAATTCATGAATTACCTGATGAAACACCTTATACATATACTTACTCTGAGAAAATAATAAAATGAAAAAAAAAATGTTTTGATATTTTTTTGCCAAGTCCACAATATTTAGGATTGTTCTTTATCAAATAATGATTGAAAAATCATAACGCGGTTGTATGTCAAAATTTTATATCTGTATCAGAAGCAAGGACTAATATATAATAGAATTAAGGGTTCTTGTATATGGATAGGGGAGATAAATCTATCGTAACTGTTTCATTGCTAATTTGTTCTGATTACACCCCTTGTCATAAATATTTATTTATGTATTGACTCAATTTCATGTATATATGCGTATAGTCTTATGAATTATTTTAAACGTATGCAAATACAATAGGTATGATTAATTATTCATACACTGGCAAGGAAAATAAAATCAGAATAATTATATTCATACGTGTAGCGAATACTGTTCTAAAAGGTGAATACTTATTTTAACCATTTTTTATTTATTCATAATTAAATACGCCGCTATATATTAAAGAACTATGGAATTCAAAATTTTACCTTAAATGTTTTAAAACGTCTGCCTATAGCTTGTTTAACTAACGTGATAAGACTATGATTTATTATTTACTTTCAACAATAAATAAACAATGTATTTATTTATCCATTATCTTTCAGATTATTTCATTGCAATCGAAGAAATAGATTGACACTACAAAGAAAAAGTTATCGCATCATAAACTTTCATTCTATTTAATGTCGTCTGCTTTTAAACGTGTGATCAACTAGACCTTCGGTAGTCAAGGACGCGCTCGAGTTCGCTGATCAATGAATAATCGGAACCACTCGAACCTTATCGTATATTTTCATAACTACCTATCGATTAGTCTTTTTAAATGAAACATTTAAACTTAAATGTGTGTTTATTTAAATAGTTGCAGCCTAACGATTCTAAAATGAGACAAGAATATATACACGGCGGCTAAATATTGGATTATTATTAACAATTACTTAAACACAGATTGGAGATTAATTAAAATTGAAATTAAAGAAAACTAAAATAAAAATATCCCCAAAACAATGAAAACGACAGCAACAGTAATCGTGACACCAGGAAAATCATACAGTGCTCCTGCCAGAAAATCTCGACATAATGTTACATCTAGCAGCAAAATTCACCGTCACCCATGGGAGGTTAGTTAAAGTTTTTTACTTATTGTTTATTTTTCATTTACAAATATTTTAAGATAACACTTTATCAAATTACACATTGATTGTTCTTCGTCATTATATAAATACACGTTATTTCGACTCGACTTGTAAATATATGTTATAAACTAACAAAAGCTATTATAACTAAGATAGTATACAAGTTTTAAAGTCATGAAAATTGAAAAAAAAAATTTTGCAATTTTCAATCAATACTCGTAAACTTAAACTAAATCCTTTGGTAGATTTGTGTTTTTATATGAACTAAAACCTTGTCCAACTACAAACGGGTGTCGTTATACGGCTTTTGTTGGATTAATAAAGGATTAAATTATTTACACCGTATTATTATATCTGACATTCAAATGTATAGCCCAAATTCATACAGCATTTAAAATAGGAGTTCTTATCTGCTGAAAACGGCATGTTTATATTTATGCTAACAAAACATTATAATTTATTATACATGTATCATTTAATTAATACATATATGTAGAAATAAGGGCTTCCACGGACTATTAACACCTAAATAAACAAACTTTTTTGTATTCTAATTGTGTAAATAGAGATAAACATTTTAATAAACTTTTAACAAATACGTTGCCTTTACATTCTAAAAAGTTTGATATTAAAAAATACTTTGCCTTTGTTTAAAGTTTATGACACAAATTTTTAATAATTACAAACGTTGTTGTATGTTGTATCCAAGAAGAATGATTATGTGCCTTATTACAATATGTTATTGAATCTATGTTAAAAACGGTAGAATGTAAGTGGCACTTTTATGTCATTTTCCTGTACGACTTTTAAAAGTAAGAACCATTATATGAGCCGCGTCACGACAAAACCAACATAATGGGTTTGCGACCAGCATGGTTCCAGACCAGCCTGCGCATCCGCGCAGTCTGATCAGGATCCATGCTGTTCGCTTACAAACTGTATAACAAGTAGAGAAACTGTAAGCGAACAGCATGGATCCTGATCAGAACAGAACAGAACAGAACATTTATTTATGCGGATGCGCAGGCTGGTCTGGAACCATGCTGGTCGCAAACCCATTATGTTGGTTTTGTCATGACGCGGCTCATATGTAACGGAAACCTAAAGAGAATAAGGAGAAGCTTAAAACGATAAAATTTGAAAAGAATGAAAATAATGTTGGGTCGGTTTGATTGCGCCTGTTTAATGACAGGAGCGATAAACGCAATCTACGGTCCACACCCCTAGCACCGCCTAAAGGAGAACAACTCAACATTTATAAATGAACATGGTGTTTAATTTAGAAGTTACAAACATCCGCAGATGTGTTTATACAGCAGCGAACACAGAACCACTTCTTAGTGACCTGATCAGGATCCATGCTGTTCGCTGTCAGTTTCCCTACTTGTAATAGGGCTTGTAAGCGAACAGCATGGATCCTGATCAGACTGCGCGGATGCGCAGGCTGGTCTGGATCCATGCTGGTCGCAAACGCATTATGTTGGTTTTGTCGTGACGCGGCTAAAATTGTATCATTCATTGACTTACAGATATCATCATGACACTTTACATGTACATGTAGTGCATATTTCTACCAACCGTAATTATCAATTTAAATGTACAATATCTTTCTTGCTGTATTGTTATGGACGTTTTATTTTACAGAACCGCAAGGCCCTCAGTGAAGAGTATGAAACTGAGGCATCTGGTAGAGAAGGATGGTGGAGGACTTACATCCGGGTAATATATAGATACTACAATATCAAAACTGCGTTCTTTTTCAGTCTCTTGAAAGCGTCTGCATTTAGTATAATTGTTTTGGTATTGTTAGAAATATGCTCTAACTATCGACAAAGTTTTCTATAACGTTTTTTATTCAGAAAAAATAACGATTTAAAAAAAAAAAAAGAAATAATGGTGGTTTCAGTCATATCCATACCTTTTATTGGCATTCAAATTAATTTTATTTGTGAGCCATAGGTTACTTTTGGGCTTAAAACGTTCATAAGAAATAAGCAGGAGTTTTCATTTACGTAAACTAAATCAATGCTATATGTTCTTATGATTTACAATTCATAACGGTTATAATTTGTTTCAGTTTGCAACATATAAATGTATAAACATATATGCTTATATATAGGAAACACCAATTCCTGGAGCCTATGAGATGGAATCCCAGCACTTGTTGTATGATTTAGAAAAAAGACCAAATACATACAGGTTCAAATCCGATGGTAGGAAGATGGATCCCCATCCACACGGAAAAGGCGCCGTGCTTTTACCTGGCGCTTATGAATCGCAGGATTTTTTAAAAAGGTAATTCCTTAAAAAAGATAAGATGAAGACACTTATATAAGTGGTATCGACGGAGCTTTTAAGCGTATGTTAAAGTTACTGCGCAGAGAAAAAACTAGATCAAAATCAGTATTTTCTTTATTTTTTATCATTATTATTTTTAGAAACTTCATCATCTACATGTATTTTAATACGTGTCCGTATATCTGTATGAGTAAAATGAAACGAAAACACCTGACACTATAAGTAATGACAATAAATATAATCATTTTATCGATTTGAATTGGCTAATTTGTTCAGATGTTGATAATCTTATTTACAGATTTGAAAAGGACCCGGCGACATATGGTTTTAAAACTGGCCAGAGAGACAAATTTGACGTCCTTAATTTTGGACGCAAAGACAAGGTAGCGTTTACTGTTTGATATTTTTTTAAAGATGATGAATGTCCAAGAATCAATGCCACTTAAATAAATCAGAACAAAAATATTTCCAAGTATACCTATGTACAAAGTACACTTGGCCTTTCATAAAAGTACTAAAGAAACATCATTGTGTGTGCTTTTCATGGAAATATTCTACTTTATTCGTTATTTTAAAACGTGCCCAAATCGTTTGTAATTTCAGAATACATTGAATAAACTATATACAACATTTGTTTCATAGTTCAACATATTTTTTATCAATTTTCTTTTTTATTAGCATTTAGAATAGAAATAGATAATACTTGTTCAATTTTATCAATTTTGAGTGCATTGTTGTAGAGTAATGCACGGTTTCTTGTTCAAATGCTTTGTAATTAATCACTCAGACCTATCAGCCTTTGTGATTATATTCCTGCGCATTTGTACCCGAACCTTGCATTATTCTAACAACAATGCACTCAAAATTGATACATTTTTCTTAAACATAAGTTGGATATGTATCTTTTCAGGATGTTAACGTATCTCCAAATGCATACGGTGTAGAAAAATATTTAACCCTTACAATAGAAAAACAACCATCCAAGTAAGTGGTTTTTCATATGACCTGTTGGCTTTCGTAGACCAGAAGTGAATAACAAAAAATGTCAAAAGAAAAGTACAGATGGCATTCAAAGCACATCAATTTAACTCACTAAACACTCCTTATTGAATTTATAGCAGTAAAGATGATAAAAACAACTACGACTGAATGAAATCCATTGATCAGTTGCACACATCTGCAGCTCGAGGGTTCAAAGGTAAAAGGTAATAACTGCCATTTTCTAGATTTCGAGAAAAACGCAAAAAAAAAATATATTTTAATACAACTTTATTTTCCGGAATATTTTTAAAAAAAAATTTGATTCTCCCATATTTGTTGACTGCATTAGATCATATTTTGTTAAGTTTACCTTGCTTGGTGCTGATAAAACACTGTAATTATAGTTTGTTTTAAAGTTCTAAGATCAAAATAATATCATTTTACAGAAGTAAAAGGTAATAAATGTACTTAGATCCTGTCAAGACAACAAGGTTGGGAGGTAAATGGTAATAACTGCACTTACGCTCTTTTACTTCTGAAGGTTTAGCAATAAAAGTTCCAGATAAATTGTGGTAAAAGGTTATAAGTGCAGTTATAGCCTTGTTCCTCTGAAAAGAATTTAGATGTTGCAGTTATTGTTACTGTTGCAAATTTATTAATTATGTCTATACTTTGAAGAACCTAACGTAGTGTCATTAACACACATGCACAATAATACGCGTACACAAAATTGACAATTTCATTCATAGATATATAAAATATGTACCTGCTCGATATTTAGATTCAACAGAAATAAAATGATAACTAAAAAGTTAGGAAAATACGCACTAAAATCATAGTTTACAAATTTTCATTTATTTTGAATATTCAATCTTTATTTTAGTCTCATCAATGTACATACATACAACAATATACATAGAACACATATAACATGATTTAAAAAGTACATTGCCACTCATATATTGAGTTATAAGAGACTTTAGTAACAATTCAACGAATAAAAAGACTTACGTAATTACTGCTATATATACTATATGCATGCTTATATCGTTAAAGCTAAGAAGCAGACGCTAATCGTTAAATAAAAAATCATTAAAATACACGACGATAAAAAAACTGAATGTGGAAAAAAGGCACTATTGCGCAATTCAAAAAAATGTGTTAAAGAATCAGGTATCACCCCGATCAGATCGTGGATGAACAGATTAGCATCTACTTCCTAGGAGAAGTTAAAAGATATAGATATCACATAAAAAGAAATTACATTATTTACACAGATAAAATTGTCTCCTATTTAAAATATCATTACAGGTTTTGGCACAAATTCTAATAAGTGAATGATTTGAAAATACAAGTTTCAGCTTATCAATATCCTGCATATCGTAGAAGTTTGGTTCTATTGACAAAATTGTATTTAGCAAAGAAATTCTAAGGTCATTGTACAAAGGGCAATCGAAAATAACATGACTTTCAGTTTCAATTGCTTGACAAAACGGACATGTTCTATTTTCTATATTTAAATTTTCGAATCTCCCAGTTTCAATTCGAATAGGCGCTACCCCACAACGAAATTTACAGTATGCTGAGCGATGCTGGGGAGGCATAATCATATTACAATAGTGCTCTGTGGTAAATTCTGACTTATATGTACAATAATTTCTAAGCTTGTTACCACCTCTACCAGTAACACTCGTGGTCCTATTGATAGTTTCAAGCCATTCAGCAATAAACTTGTTTGTCATATATGATTGTATACCTTCAACAATGTAGGCTTTAGAAACATTTACATTTACATCAGAACAGTTGACTAAATTACAATCATTTATTTGCTTCTTCACAGAAAAGAACCAGTTTTTACATGATGTACCAGCTTTAACACTTGCCCAAACTGCAATTCGCTTATTAATACGAGTAGAACGGGTGTTACAAATACAGGCCCAATAAGAAGCTATAGTTTTCCATTGGCGAACAACGGGGGGCTGCCAAGCCATTTCTCCTGCTAAAGCCGCATTAGGTGTATATTTGCCGACGCCTAGGAAATACCTCATTGCTCTATTCTGAACAGCATTTATACAGGAGAAAGATCGACAGCCCCACACTGCTGCACCGTAACTTATTACAGGCCAAACTAAGGAGTCGTATAACTTAGTAAATACATTAAAAGGTACTCCACCTATTAATTTACATTTGGCAATTACCAAACCCAATGCACGGCTTGCACTTTGAGCAATTGTCCTGGCTGTTACATTAAAATCGAGGTGTTCGGTCAAAACTATACCCAAGTATGTATATCTATCAACAATATCAAGAGTTTCATTACCACATTTGAAAACAAAATCAACCTTTTGTACAGAGGGTGGTCTAAAGTGAACAATATTACTTTTTGTACAATTAATTTGCATATCGTTAACATTGCACCATTCACTCAAAGCATTTAGCAAAACTTGCAAATCATGTTTATTTTCAGCTAACAGAACAATATCATCTGCATATAACAAAATGCTTATAATTTCACTTTCTATAGACACACCAATATTCAAAGACTTAAGATACACAGCAAGGTCATTAATGTACAGATTGAACAGCAGAGGGGACAGGGTGCAGCCTTGTCTTAAGCCAGAATGTACACTGAACCAGTCAGTTTTATAAGAATTTACACGAACACATGACGAGACATTAGAATATAGTGATCTTACGGCTGTTAACATTTTCCCTGATATACCACTATCATGAAGTTTTTTCCATAACTTATTTCTATTAATATTGTCATAAGCTTTTCTAAAGTCGATAAATGCACAAAATGTTGATTGCTTTAGCTTTTTCCTAGTATCTATTAGATTACTCAATGAAGAAATTTGATCAATAGTTGTGCGTTTCTTTCTAAACCCATTTTGCTCGTCTACCAGTTTTTCATTTTCTTCAGCCCAGGTACTAAGACGATCATTAAGAACCGAACAATATAATTTGTATACTGCAGGAGCTAAAGATATACCTCTATATGAAAGAGGATCTCTAGGGTCCGCAGAAGAAGACTTGGGAATTGGGTTAATAATACACTTTCCCCATATACCAGGAACAACTCCGCTGTCAAAAATAACATTAAATAATACATGAAGAAAATACACTGTCGTATCATTTTTCAAAACCTCGGTCGGGATATTATCAGCCCCACAAGCTTTTCCTATTTTCGCACTAGAAATGGCCTTTTTAACCTCAAAAATTGATATTCGTTCATTAAAAGAAACATTATCAGAAGAATCAGGGTCTTGCAAAAAATCTAAAAGAGGAGGTGCATCATACTCTTTAAAGAGAGAACTATAATCCGTTTTCCATTTTTGGAGTACATCTGTGACAGTAGACGATATATCACCGTTATCCAAACGTACTTCCATTGGTATTTGTTTATTTTTCGAATAGCCTATCCCAATTTTTCCTATTGATTTCCAAAACTGATTACTGTCAACTTTACAATCGTTTAACAAGTCATTCTGCATAGAATACCAATAAATACGTTTGCAACGCTGAACCTCAAGATCAAAACATTTTCTACTAGAAATATACACAGATTTAAGATGTAACTTATCACTTCTATTCTTACAATCAAGCCATTTGCGTTCATTATGACACATAATATTCCAAAGATCTGATAACTTATCAGACCACCATGGCTTACCAGCTCTTCGCTTTCTATGAGAGCTACTAATATTTACCGTTTTATATGATAATTTACTATACATGTTATCTTTAACAATATTACACCAATCCAAATATATATTATCAATATCAGTCTGGGTGTTAATACCTGATTCTAACTTTTCTATAACAGTGTTTATTTGTTCTGTAGTATCAAGACTATTTAAAAAATCATTAGGTATATTACGTAATTCAAACTTATCAAAAGAACTACTGGCATCTATCGAAATAGTATTACTTTTACTTATATTGACATTTGTCTCGTAGTTAATATTCCACATAAGTAACGAATGGTCTGGGATACTAGCTGGCATTGTAGTGTTCACATAATCAATACTATTTATCAAATCTGTAACACGTACAATACAAAAATCTTTAAACAATTTTAAATTTTCGTGAGACGTGACACAATAATCGACTACAGCTGTACCTTTAACAGAAATAGACGTAAAATCATTTTTAATACAGTTCCTTCCATTAAGCATACACATATTTGTATTAATCAGAAAATCAATAAAAAGTTCCCCATAAGAATTTTTTACAAAATCTATGACATCACGGGGCGGTAAACTATCAACTCCACAAATGAAATCTTCTAAATCTCCACATCTGCTGTTAAAATCTCCGCAAACATACACCACACCTTCATTTTGAAATCTATATATATCTGCTAAAATATTATCATAAAATGCATGTACGTCAAAATAACGAGAAGAATTCTCTGGAGGTAAATAACATACACATGGAAATATCGCATCTTTAGTAATTTATGTACCAATTTTAACCACAAAATGCCCTCAAATGAATTTTGCACAATACTAATATCAAAAACATTAAACAATTGGTTTTTAACTAAAAATCCAATACCCCCGGATCCTAACTTGGCACGCTTGTGTATTATTGTACGGTTTAAACCAAACCATTTATAACCTTCTACTTGTAAAACATTATCATGTAAAAGATGAGTTTCTGCAATTCCTAAAATATCAAGGTCACATTTTAAAAGGCAAGATTCACGTAAAATATAATTATCACAGTCACTGTCCATACTCCATCCGCGCACATTCCAAAACCCGCATTTCACCTAGTAGGACCCACGGCGGTTTTGTCCACGGTAACCACCATTCCTTCCGCGCCCGTTACTTCTTGGTGCCGATTTCGACCATCCGCTGTGATCCCCACCTGGTCGCGCACTATACCGATCACTGTTATCGTGATGATCACGAGAGTCACGATCACGACTGTTAGAACGCTGACTGTCACGGTTCTGAAAACCAGTAGAGTTCGCGCTTTCTCTATTATTAGTGCGCACCACACGAGAACCTTTCACTGATAAGTCACTTTTGTGGAGTGCATTAAGAATAGTCCGGAAGTTGCTGGACATCAACCTGTCTGCTGAAGATAGATCGTGGTTAATATAAACATGCTCATATTGTTGATTTTTTCTCAAGTCACGCTTTGCAGACATAACCTTTCGTTTATCTTCATGTGTGCTGAATTGGGCTATAATAACTCCCGGCTTTGATTCTACGGATGATTTCTTCCGGGATGCCGTAGAACAAGATATGTCTCTTATTTTTAGCCCATCACGGATGAGTTTGTTAACCTTTGCCCTCGTATCTTCTCCTTGAGTCTCCGAGAGTCCACGAATAACCACGTTTAGAGACCTGTCATCCGCTGTAGACCTTTGCTGACTCTGCACGTCTCTTACTGGCAAGCTGTCTATTCTAGCCTTAATGACATCCAATTCCTCGGTTATCTCGTCACGGAGTGAATCTTTCATAGACAATAATTTATCGTCGACATCTTTACGGATACGGTTAAGTTCAGTATTCACTCTTTTGTCCAGAATTTGGGACACTTTATTAGCTATTTTCTGCTCAATACCACTTTCAAGTTTATCCATGCGTTCTGTGATAGAGCCGAAAAGCATATGCATATCCGCCGACAGTTTGTTGATCAAGTGCTCTACCGACGGGTTACCATTTGCATGTACATCCGCATGAGCTACAACAATGTTTCTTGGAGCTGGGGTGGGTTCTTCATTGTAGAGGGTTCGTCTTGCAGTGGATAGCGTCCGAGCCTTTTTTACTGTCGAATCAAGCGGTTCAGAAGCATTACGTTTTCTGCCACTTTGTACTGGTGTGGCAATACGTTCTATACGTTGTGATAACATCACTGAATCAACGTATTCCTGGGCATCGCTCGATTTAACGCTCGGTTTCTCCATAGCGAACACTTAATAACGACTCTGTCTATCCAGTCAGTAATAGTGCGAGTGCGCTCTATTCAAGCGTGACGAAAATCCAGGTAATCGGAGGTTTACACTATAGCTGATTGACCGGTTATCGATACAATAGTAAAGTACAGGTAGTGTTACTAAAAATAGATCGCCAATACTACATGAATCTACAAAGTTTATCAATAGAGTTCCCAAAAATAAAGTCAGTCACCTCCAAATCACAGAATCCTATCAAAATATCCTTCCCGATCACTCACAACGAAAATTGTCCATAAATGTTCACAAAACACTGTTCTCTGGTATATAATCGAACTGAAGTCAAACAAACCCCAGACATCAGCAATTAAGGAAATTAGTGACCCATATCATAGTTAAGTAAATAAAGACTACTGTTTCATGTCACAAAATGTGAATGTTTGTCATTAATTATTCCATGACCTTCACTCATCTTCTTCACTCTCACTAACAGAAGGCACTGGAAGTTTGTCTTTTATAGATTTGCTGCATGGCAATGACTCATAGTATGATTCGCACTCCTTCGGAATTGTCCCAGAGGCAACAAGTGACATCAAATCAGCTTTTTTGCAGCAGATATTGGAAGCTTCTCTGTATAAGCCTTTCGTGGAGCCTTAAGAGACTTTTCTTTGCTTCTGTTCTTCTTCTGCATTAACCTAACTTCCTTGAACTCACTAACATCAAAACCATAGCTCACAACAATACTGTATTCTTTGTCTTTACGAACTTGAATACATTTTATATTAAGCCAATTAACACATTCACCATCAACATCGATTTTCATTGAGCCAAAGTTTTGTTTTTTGTACAACTTGTAATCTACTATGTCAGTGTATTTTATTGGAACGACAATATATGGTTGCTTCCGGCGTGCTAATGATATAACTGTTTCCCACTGAGATGGAACATGAACTATTGTGAGGCTTTTTGCATGCTCGATAGATGCATGTACGGAATTACATTCCATTTCTAAATGGCCACTTTCGAGAAATTTGTGGTTTATATACTTGATGTGAGGAATAGCTTGGACACAGCGAACTAAGCAACTTGCAACAAACTGATTGCAATTCTGTCCTCCACATGCATTACTATATAATGTCACTTCTTCAATACCAGATGTCTTACTTGCAACAGAAGTTACATACAAGTACACAAAAGTTCCTACTTCGCACGAGCCTCGTTTCCCCATGTGTCTCATCCCACAGATAACAAGTCCCGTTACCATTTCCCAGTTCATAGAATGACAAATTGCAACAACACAGTTTTCTTTTGTAATAAAGTTCACCAATTAAACTGCATGGTGTTGTCAAAACAGCCTGGATATCAAATACCAACACAGAAAACTTTGGATCTTTCTTTGTGCGTTCTTTATCGGCTGATTTTTCCATTCTAGTACTGTTTTTTTCTTTCTTGGTCACTTGGTGTGCCTAATATTTTGCTTTTGTTGCCTCATCTAGTCTATCTTCTATTCTCAAAGTGTCATACAGATTGCAGAGTGGACATTGATCTTTCTTAGGATGGAAGAAAGACAAGTTATATTCTGTACTGAAAATGTTTCTGTACACAGCTCTGAAACACACCCTCTATTGTTTCCCATTCATTTTTCTACATACAGTGAGTATATTCGTTTTATATTTAAATCTTGCGTTAGATACTTCCTGTTGGAGTCTTCGTGTGTAGTGTGATTCAACAGTCGGAAAACTTTCGTTGTGTTTCTTTACAAATGATCTGTGATATTCCGTGGTTTTATTTCCAGGCACAGCTTTCCCTCTCTTGTCATTTCCAACATATAACCCTGCCACTATGTGCTTAACTGCATTTGCAACTGTTTTGGAACCGACATGGAGTGTTTTTAGAAAAAAGTCTTTGCCACCATCTGTGAAGAAAAACAAAGTCGAAATAGTTCTTTGTTTTGTACTCTGTTTAGATACCTTCTCTGGTTCTTTATTGGCAACATGGAAACAAATGAATTGCCTCTGACTTATGTAATCACCCATTGACCAGTATGTACTGAATATTTTCCGTCTTTCATCTTCGGTTATATTCTCACTGCATTTAAATCTAAAAGATAAATCTCTTGGGAAAAGAGATAACAGATAGTGCCTGTGAACTGTATGAATGCAGTATTCTGTCAGGGGGAAAAGGTGATAAAATCACTTATAACCTTTTTCCACTACAGATTCTTCACAACATGTAGAACAACAAGTAAACAACAGGTAATAAGTACACTTAGAACCTTTTATCCCTAAATAATTTGTAGAAAAGAAGTTATTACAAAATACTTTTTAACGTTTTGCCCTTATAAGGATTGAATATTTATATTATAGCATAAAATCGGCTATTTTTCCCTCTTTTGCCCATGTTATAACGGGACCAAAACCATGTGTTAACATAGTCACGCGCTCTTGTTATAGCCCGGTTTCACCTATGCGCAATACATACAGGGCCCAGTAAACAAACAAACAAAAAATGACGATTTGGACTGTTTGCCAAAGAGTCATGCGCTCTTGTTATATTGAAATTTATTGATTCGAGGGCCTCAGTCGCATATTCAAGTAACTATGCCGGAAAAAACGGCGTATAGACATCAGTGCTAATCTTGGTTGTCGCCCTTTCTAAGAAACGGACAGTTGTCAATGTAAACAAATACAGTAGAATCTACCTGTCATTCAGTTTAACACTCCGGTTAACTTACAAAACTAGATAACACAAAATTAATATGAGAAAATGTTTTTTTATTTATGTTAATGTTGATAAATGCTCTTTATATTTCTTTGAGAGAATAATGCTTAGTGCCTGATTTTTTTATAAACTTGTTTGCTTGAAAAAAAAAAAACCGATTCTGATGTCACTGATCCTTTTTCTACCGTCAATCTGAAATAATTCTAAGAATTTCTGAGGGTCATGTTTTGTCTTGGGTAGAGGGTAGAGTAATGTAACGTTTTTTTTTCTTGAGAAAATAAATCTCCAAAGGCCAAGCTTTGTTAAATCAATTAAATTCTTCGTTCGGTTCCGAGAATTTTCCAAGTTGTTGGCCCCGGAAAAATGAAACGCATACGTAAAACATAGAATTGGATAAATACCGTCCAAGCACAAGAATTTAATGTAATTGTGTTTTGTATAAACTACACATCACGAATCTGTTTGAAAATTTTATGCTATAATAGCGTCAACACACGTTTTTCCGTGTTATAAAGTCTGCAGAGTCCCTCGGAACTGTTGGAGCCCTCGCCCTACCGGGCTCGGGCACCAACCGTTCCTCGGGACTCTGCAGACGTTATAACACGGAAAAACGTGCGCTAACCCTATATAATATTTTCGTCAGACATAAAGGACAATTAGTACATTGTAAAAAACATAAAAAGTCAATTTCGGCAAAAGTGGCAGTTATAACCTTTTACCTTTGAACCCTCGTGCTGATGTTTCTAAATTCAAAATCTCACTATTTTCATGTTTAAATGTTGCATTCCGCTTTAGCCGGTGCTAGGGGTCATAGACGGTAAATTGCACTTTCCAGTACCGTCTATGAACAGGCTAAATCAAACTGAGCCTGCAACATTTTTAATTTTGTCGTTTTGGGCGTTCTTTAGGGATTCCACTTTTCTTTATTCTATTGCATAAATATATTATAGACAAACTATTTATTTAGATTTGTTTATTTATAATGATAATCTTAAACGTACTTTTTCAAGATATAACATTTACATTTTATACTGGCAGTTCTCGTATTCTTGTTGTATTGGGGCAACACTTTTAATACTGTCAATTCTTTATAAAAGTAATTTAGGAATATACTATACAATAGACATAAATTGTACACTATGTTTTGATGTTCGTTTATATAATTATGCTGATACTAAGTATTACATTTTGATGAATGAATAAAGAGGACATTATTTTTTGGTATTACAGACATAGTATGTTCAAATCACAGGCGAGGAGATTTCCAACAATACAGTTTAAACCGGTACAAACTTTAACTTATATTGACATATTTGTTATACGGCTTAATCATACTTCTCAGTTAATTATAAGTATAATTATTAGAATATATAACATACAAATATATTGTAATATTATCCACCTAAATATGTAATATGAAATCATTTCAATATAATTACAGGGTAGGCCTATACTGTCAAACCATTGTGAGAAATTTGTTCGATGTTAAATTACAAAAAATACACGACGGAACAGTACAAGTTTAATGAAGTACATTATTTTTCCAATGGAATTTCTACAGTATACATTTATCATCAACTTATTTTCAATAGGATATTCTGTACCTTTTTATTCAGCGAGAAGGTCCAGCCCCTGGCAATTATGAATCCATGCAATTGGCACCAGGGAAGAGAGCCATTTCATCTAGTTTTAAGTCGAAAACCCCAAGATTCTCAAGTTCACATACGGTACGTTATCATTTCACAATCCAATTTATCTTTTTCATAAAATCTTATATTACAAAAATTACGAATGTGTTCTTCGTACTTTTTCATTTCTAACTTAAACATCATTAATTTAAGCTATGCAGTATATTCTAAATTCTTCTATACACAGTTTTTTTCTATTTACGTATTGTAAAATTGTAATTGCTAGTGAATAAATTAATGTTCAAATTATTTGTATATTTTGTAAATTTTTATACATTTGAAAATTGTGAAGGCATAATAAAGCCGACAGTTTTAGAAAGCCACATTATTCTGTCTTTTTTACCGACAAACACAAACGTAGTTTAATATGTTCCATTTAGTTACATCACAACTGCTTTGTTATTTCCTTTCTGTTTAACAAAGTCAAAACATCATCTAAAGGATGCTTAAAATAACTTTAAAATCTACACTTTTTGTTAGACATTGCATTTATATTTGCTTTATATACATGAATACATGTAGAATGTTTATATATATATATTTTATTAATTATGATGTTAAAGTGATAAATATGATTTAATATGAATGGAAAATGCATAGAATGATTCGTAAGATTTTTCATAAATCATCATTAATCACACCTTGTATTTTCCACAGCAGAACACGGCAAGTATTCCATGTCAACTTGATAAAAATCTAGCTAGAAACTAAACCCTTAAAATTAGATGCTTAATATTACACTTTAGAATAATTCCAAATACAACATGCTATAAGAACTTGTTATGACTGATGTCATAGAAAAAGAAACATTCATGTGGGCAGTATATGGTCCGCATTTCAAGTAAACGGAAACCAAATTCTTACATGGTTATAATTGTATAAAGATTTGCCCTTATTCGAATTTCGAACTTTTCCATTGTCTCAAATGTAAAAAACATTTCAGATATTTCAATGTCCTATGAGACTGCACAGATGAATATGCTGGCACGATTTTATACTTCTGACATAAAACAAATGCCCCTTGTGGCTGAGTGGTTGATGCATCAGAATTGAAGCAATTGTTTATTTCTTTGTGATCGTAAATAGCGATTAAATGGGTACGAATTACTGGCAAGTGATGTGGTTTTGACCCATGGTTGCTCTAAATTTGTAACACCCGATGATAGCCAAAATCATCTTACCAGTTTCGGTCCCATATGACTTAAATTGTGCTGCTGCGCCGTCAAACCAAAGAAACAAACAAACAGACTTAAAACAAAGTCTTTATTTCCACTAGCTTTAATAAAATCAACACAATTTTCTATATTTAAAAGGGCCATAATTCTGTCAAAATCCATTATAGAGTTATTGGCCTTTAATACCTTCTATTACCATCTATCTATTATGCTCATAAATAAGTGTATAAGGTTTATACCTATTCTATTATGTAATTTTGACAAAACTAATTTCCATTCAAAACCTTAGCCAAACTGGAAAAAGTGACGTCTTTTGTGTACAATATCGCTCCCTATTATTTGAAATATCAAGCTAAATAATGTGCTCGCCTGGTTTTATCCATAAATGCAAGTTTTTTCTCTGTGAATGTACACCTGTGTGTGCATGTTTGTGCAGGATGGCCAGTTTATTAGTGTGTTATATGTATGAAAAGTGCTGATCATATAAATTATCTATATCATAGAAATTTGTCCAAAAATCATTATTTAATGGCGGCCATCTTGGATTTGGAAGCCATATTGAATCTTCTACCAATGCTACTAAAGCATTTTTCCAAGAAATTACCATTTTTGACCTACAATGTCAATTTATATCATTTTCATGCCGTAAATAACTTCATTTTGTCCTGTCCCATGTACTTTGTACATTTTGGCGGCCATCTTGAATTTTGGCGGCCATCTTGGATTTTTAAAAAGTGGATCCCAGGCTGAAATGAATTGAAATACTATTTCCTACCACCTTGCAAAGTTTCATGCTTTTCACAGAAGGTGCACTGATTTCTTGGACTATTTTAACTCTTACGTTGGCGAAGATTTGCCTAGCGTTAAAGTTTGAACAGTCCTTTCAAACTAATTGGGTTTTTGATAACAAGATGCAAATAAAATATGAATGTATACTGATGATAAAAGCTTATCACTTTTGGTTCCAGCAGATTAAACTAGATTAGATAATGCGAAATAAAATTAGAAATCCAAACTTTCATAAACAGTCTTCAAACGTTGCTTGCTCTGTTTTCTCTTTTGCTTCTACAGCCAACAAAACACTAGACTTATTTCAACCACTTTTTGAAAATTCAGTTGACTTATTTCAACCACTTTTTGAAAATTCAGTTGACTTACTTCAACCACTTTTTGAAAATTCAGTTGACTTATTTCAACAACTTTCTGAAAATTCAGTTGACTTATTTCAAGCACTTTTTGAAAATTCAGTTGACTTATTTCAACCACTTTCTGAAAATTCAGTTGACTTATTTCAACCACTTTTTGAAAATTCAGTTGACTTATTTCAACCACTTTTTGAAAATTCAGTTTCCTATTTCAATCACTTTTTGAAAATTCAGTTGACTTATTTCAGCCCCTTTTTGAAAATTCAGTTGACTTATTTCAACCACTTTTTGATCATTCAGTTGACTTTTTTCAACCACTGTCTGAAAATTTAGAGCACTGAAGTATGTCTATGCCTATGTCGTTGGTATAAAACTTGCCCAACTTGCTCATCTGTGCAGCCTAACCAGCCACCACTCTATACTTATGGTTGCCTTATTTCTTTGTCAACCTCTTAAATTATTAGAAAAATTCATCCGCACATAAAGATTTAAATACATGTATAGATATATGTAGGCATAAGTTTTGACTTACTTGGAATACAAGAAGTGTTAGAAACTAGTGAAAAGCAGTCTTCCTAAATCACGGCCAAAACCTTAAAAATTGAAAATGTTGCAGGCTCGTTTTAGCTGAGCCTGTTTAAAAGATTGGATCTATCTAATCAGGAAAAACTTTAAAGTTATAATTACTAACGGGTAGATTTGTTGACATAACACTAATAAGGCTAATTCTGGTAACAAAGGTTTTACAATGCTGTCCTAACAATTTTTACTTGGAGTTAGTTCAAGCCTTAATTTATTGAATCATGTAGTGTTGAATTAAAATGGATTCGATCTATTATAGAAACTGAATAAGTAGAAAAAATTATCTGATGATTTATTCAAAGGAAACAAATTGAAGCTGCATAAACTTTTTAGTCTAGGCTATATATAGACAGAAACTATTCCCTTATTATAGTCATACCCCCCTCTGTAGATCTGTTTATATAAGCAAAAATAATATCGCATGATAAGTGTATAGTACATCAGAAATTCAAAGGTTTACAGACTTTTCAATTTATTTTACAGCTATCACTATTATTTGTACTTAAGTGATTACAGTGTTAACATTGGCTACTACTACAGTTAGGTTCAACAGGTACTTTAGGTGCTTCATTTGAATATGTTTTCTTTTAATAATTAAACATATGTGCAAAAAGTTTAATTTTACAGTTCTATGTCAAACAATATAATATTTATGTTATTTTATAGAGAGTTCCTGGTCCCGGAAGTTACGAAAAGACGTTCCAGACCCCACAGAGCGGTGTGCTACAAAAGATGGGGCGTCAACATGGGCTTTTCTTTTCGAGCGCTTTTCAAGTTTGATCCACGAATCATTACACTTAACAAAACGATGAATTAAATATTTGAGAATTTATGATATGCATACAAAAATCAAAACGTATATACAGAAATATATTATTTAAATGATACAAAAATAGTTCTATATATTTTAGATCAGAAACCACTGTCAAGTTTCACTAAGCTTGTTAAAGTATGTGTTCATAAAATCATCTTTGCCCCGACGATTTTAATTCATTTATGGTTACATTATTCTACTGTATTTCTTTCAATGGGTACTTTCATGTTTTTGTAGTAATTATAGAATATTTACATTTATAATAAAGGCAAACGCACGGAGAAGAAAGAAAGAGAAGGAAAAAACAACAGTACAAAAACAAACAAACGCCCAAAAGATAAAATCAACTAAAATATTTTAAACTATATTTTTCGATATCTACTAAGTCAAAAATTGACGGATAAAGCTAAAATGACTTTATGCTTCCAATGGATCGACCCTTTCTCCAGATCTATTAGTATATTCTTCAATCAAGAGTTCCTTCGTCACCATTTTGTATATTTATGTAAGCAGCTTCACTTTGTGAATCAGTATTCGACATTTCTGTGATATATCTACAAATACTGCTCGGGTTTTCCGAGCACGATTGTTTTGTTGTATGTTCTTATTTTATAATTCTATATACATATATCTTATTTATTTTAGCACATGATTTAAAAAAAAAGAATTATATATTGATTGAAACGACAAAGCTTTTATTTATGCTATATCTATATTTTGTGTCGTTATTAGATTTTGCTCAAGTCGAATATTATTGTTAACTATTCATAAGAGTATTTGATGTGTTTCCTATCATACTTATAATGTCGATAAACTTGTTATTTTTATCAGTATTATTACCTGCTTTTCATCTGTATTTGATGTTGTGAAATAAAACAGTTCACAAGAAGAAATCCTTTCGTCTGTGGCTTTTTGCTAAAATTTGTGTCATTCACGATATTCAGACGTAACTAATAACAACTACAACTTGTCGTACAAAACAATTGAGCCGCGTCACGACATAACCACCGTAATGCGTTTGCAACCAGCATGGATCCAGACCAGCCTGCGCATCCGCGCGGTCTGATCAGGATCCATGCGGATGCGCAGGCTGGTCTGGATCCATGCTGGTTGCAAACGCATTACGTTGGTTTTGTCATGACGCGGCTCAATTATTTTTCAAGAATACATAACTGACCATCTGTCTTTTATTACTTTATCCTATGTTAACTAAAAAGAATTATTTTTATTTCGGTTTGTTATCTAAATACCGTTAAATACATTGACGACAACCTTGTTGATGTGGACACATGGAAGTTTGCATGAAAGACTTATTTTAGGAAAATCCTACAACATACATAAAATTGTTCGAATTTATATCAACCCTGAACTTGCTCAATTACTTACTTTCAAGCTTTCATATTATCATTTTGGAAATATAAAGGTAAAAATCAACCATTTAGTAAGTCAACAGTATAGAGCTTGGTTTGACTACGCAATAGCGCAGGCTTGACCTTACTCCATAGTAGTGGCAAAGGTTAACTACTACTACTAGACAGTTTAAAATATGATTAATGTTTGCCAGTGTCGTAAATTTAGTAACATGTTTGCTAGAGAACTTTATTATCTCCGATGAGCAGACTCATTCAGTCTGCATTTTTCATGTATTTCTGCCTTTTTTTTCCATTTGCTTCTGAGGGATCTCCCTTTCCAAAAAGCTAAATTCCATCGAGTAATCTGAACCAGAAAATCATGTTACGTTATACTTTCTTCCATAGTCCGTCAAACATGTACATAGGATCATTTAAGCGAAAAACAAAGGAGAAAAAGTTGGAGTTTGGTTTTATCGAACTTTATCAGGGACAGCAGGTTTATAATTTTCATTAGGTTTTGCATTAGGCAATTACTGGGAAATCGCTGGAAAACGCTTATACAAACTTTCGTTTCATTGAAAGCACAAAGATACAGTAAACTGGAAATGTTTTACAGTAAAAGCTCAGCTTTTGATTAACGTAGTGACTTAACATCTCAACCTTTTACTTATAAGGAAACAACGACTTGGCCCTGAGAGTCAAATTAACAGTTTGTATTTAAAAAAATCATGAGTCTCTCATCGTTGATTTTAATTCATTTTGACCATTTAGTATTTTTGTGTTAATAAAAAAAAGTTGATTATTGTGATCTATTTGAATTGAATATTTACAGTGAAAGATCATGTGCAAACAGATAAATTGTCGGCCTCCACGGAGGAGCTGTTTTTTTTTCATTCAGCTTTGAAAATATATAATTCTTATATTTGATTTCCATGCTGATTAGATACTGTATTAGTTTAGAGGTTCTTCTTAAAAGCAATATAATGCACAAAGCTCTAGCCCAAGAAATATGACCTTAAGATCCTGCGATTTGTTATTTCTCTATAAAAAGTGTCATAATTTTGGTGTGTAAAAAATCACCATTTTCTGGTGCCCACCGTCGAAACATCACTTGTGTGATCAATATGACCTTTAGAATCCACGTGGCATGGTCGTTTTATTGGACCGGTGATTTGTTCTTTCTCTATAAAAAGTGACATATTCTTCTTTTTTTTATAAAAGTCACCATTTTCTGTTGCCAACCATTTTGGCCACACTCATTTGGCGAATGATAGTGGAAACTTTAACGACACGATGAAACTTGAATCGCTTTAAAAAGTACTTTTAATAGACATGTTATATCATTTATATTGCATGATAAATAATGCAATATATTTTAGCGACATGTTTATGCCTGTTTTTGCAAAGATGTTTTGTACATTAAAATATGTTAACATTTAAGCATTGGGCGAGAGATATTTATTATAAAGGCATGTTTTCTCACCGTCTACATCATCATAATTATCATTTTAGCCATCGCAGAAAGACGCACACTGGTGGTTTATCTCACTCTGTACGGCAGGAGACGCTTTTTACGTCAGGGTATGTTGAACCAACAATTGATTAATGCAGTTAAAGGTGGACATCGTGTGAAACTAATGATCAATAACATACTATCTCAAGCTACTAATGTAATAGTCAATAAAAACGTGATAACTGCATTTCTACCAAATATGCTTAAAAAGACAAGCATAGAAATGCTAGAGGGTACGACTGGCAAATGGCAATGGGATTGGACGTTAGTAAATACAAATGGTAAAGTAGAGACAGCTAATTACTTTATTGACGAGGGGCAATGTTCATTGTTAAGCGGGGCTGCCGATATGAAGTGGTTTATTGACAGTCGAGAATGGAATATGGTACTTGATGTTGGACCTAGCTCTGTAAACATTGGTTCCAAAGAGCAGCTTGCAAATGATATAAAGGTAATAGGGTTTTGGTCATTCTTTGATGGAAACATATACTAGATAAATCGAAACACATGTAATTATAAGACTAACAAATCTTTAATCAAGTAAAAGTGTATAAATGCTTGTTTAATGAGTACGAAAAATCGACAGAATAGACGATCCATCATTATATGTTTAAAATGACACCTTAAAACATTTTAATCTATGTGTTATCTTTTAGCAAGAATCATGTTTGCCTAATCTACTCACGTTATGGGAAAAACTAATATAATTGGTTGAGATTTAGTGTTGAATCATTTAATTTGTAAGGACAAACTTCTTTCAGGATGGAGCAGATGTACGATATGCCTGGATAAGTTCTGCTGGGGAGTATAATTTAATGGAAGCCGACAATATAGAATTTAATGGTTCTAAATCCGCATTCGGTGCACAGCATATACGTTCCGTACTTCTTAAACCAAACGGAAACGAATACAAGTTTGATGTCATATTAGATAAGCTCACCTGGTTGTATACAATAACAACTAACTCTGGCGTGGTGAGAAGCAGTAGGTGGGCTGTTGGTGACCATCTTTCACGAGGAACGACAACTGTTTACACAAATGTGATTTGGTTTAACGCCAAATAATAAGTTTCGAAAAGATTTGCTTTAAAAACATTCATTAGATTGACTTTTAGTTTGATTATATTAATTATGATTTTTTTTATAAAAATGTATAAACGGGATTTGCTTCACATATAGCATAAACATCTATTAATTGTGTTTTTTTTTAATTATATGATCTTGAAATACTGTTCATAATTACGTATTTGCTCTTGTTACTGAAAAAGTAATTGTTCAGTTTATGTGTTTATTTGACAACATGCTTATTTCACTTTCTTTATCATTTTCTTTCGTTTATTATACTGATAAATATGACTGAAATTTGAGGGGGAGAAGGCGGTAATGTTTCTATAATTGGCCATCCATATCAAATTAATCTTAACTTAAACTTTAATATATTTTCATTTACATCTCTACAATGAAGATTTAATGTTTTAAGTCATAAATAAGTCATTTGTTTTAACATCTATTGTGTTCAAGACCTTGACACTTATTATATATAGATACAAGTTAGATATCGTATCAAAGGATTTACGAGAAAGCCTGCATTGGTGTCATTTATAACAAGATGTATAGGATATTTTAAAATATTCTATGACGACACATTGTTGTAGTTTACACTTTTATTTCGACATGTTGTTACTTTATTAATCATTTACTTGTTATACTATACAGTATTTCTTTTGTTAGCACACTATTTAACGTGGGTTTTCTTTATATGCACAAGTAATTATATTAACTGTTTAATAAATGTAACAATGTATTTGTCCATATCATATTGAGTATTTGTAATTACATGCATACTAGACCGTTATTGTTGTTTTTATTCCCTCAACGTTATTGAGCGAGTTGTTTTGTTTACGAAATAAATATCAATTGTGAGTGCTTTGGTATAGAGTAATGTACGATTCGAATCCAAAGGCACAGGAATCTAATCCCCAAAGCCGGTAAAGTTTATTAAAGTTTGCAACGATTTCCAGCTTCAATGCTACTTTTTTGGAACGCAGATCAATATTTTGGCAATCTATATAAACTTTCGTCATGACATGATGTCTTGATATTAAATTGTTGTCTTAGTTTATTATAACAAGGCCTCAAAATATAAAATTGTAGCCACAACATATTCGAGATATAAATTACAACGGTTCACATGCACAAAATGATATTTTACAATTCATAATATAAACACCAGTTTGCAAGTACATGTGATATAAATCACTGAAGTTTAATCACTGCCATTTAAAAAAGAATAACTCTTGCATATATACTGCGCACGCAAGTATACATAAACGGTAACAAGCATGACTTTGTGCGCATTGTAAAACAGCTTAATTCTACGACAACCAGAGTAGTTTTACTTTCAAATGACATCGCACTAGCATGTGGAAAATTTAAGGTTAAAATGTTCTTTTTATCCAACAAACAGAAAACTGAATTAGAGATATATGTTCAAGAATGCCGCTAATGCACTACTCCCCTGCCGACTCGGGCTTTAAATGCGCCCTCCTGCTTCTAAATATGTTATTGCACGTAAAAAGTGCATTAAAACCTATATTCATGGTCATTTCTGTATAATTATTCGAAATTATTTAGTTTGACATATGGGCATTACTAATGACACCGTTAACTTTCATCTTTACCCATCAATTATAAGCATTGTTCAATGAGTATTGATCACTGACAATGTCACCTAGCCCACCTTTATAGACTTACTTCAGCACCATAAAATTAAGAACCACTTTGCAGGTATATTTTGGGATATTTTTTTTTATAACGATAGGTAGGAAACATGTAAGTGAAAACGACAATTTTTGATTGTCCCAATAAGCTGTATTCTTTTCTTTGGATGTTGGTTTCCGGAAATCTGTACTAGAACAAACCAAATTGTACGGTTCACATATTTTTCGTTTTTAGATTTACGACATGTTTTATTTGTCTCGATATAAATCCTGACAAACACGATGTCTATTTATGTAACTGTCCAAATGATTCAAGCACGGCTGCTAAGATTTGAATATACGAGAATATGTATTAATGCATCAAAATACGTGATGTCAATGTCTTGGCTGTTACATTTGAGTGTGTTAGAGAATTTATTTATAAATATGAATCTTCTTGATATGTTATGTTTTTAACGTACCTGAATTTTATAAAACAATAAAAAATTAAATCATTCTTAAAAATTGTCTTTAAAAATTTCCCACAATTGTATTTATAGCAATTATAGCTGAAGCTGAAAAAAAAAAACAACAAGAAAACGATAACATACAAGTATGTTTTTGGCTTTAATTTTTATTGTATCATGAAGTAATGAAAAGGAAGGAACTGTATAAATCTCTTACGCTGCGCTTATTTGTAAACAATAATTTGTTTTCATGTTTTGATTTTCACATTGAAAAAATAATGATAAATAAAGAGTGAATTAAAATAGCATTTTGAAGTTAAGCAGCAGACGAGGATCACATATACAATTCCTTATGTTGTAATTCGATGTAAAATTTTAAGTCAATGGATGTTAAAATTATCTTTTTAACTATCCATGTTTTTATAACATGTATAAATGGGCAATCATACATGTACGACGGTATGCAAATGTTATATTTTTTATATTCTTTTCTTTTAAAAGCTGTCAATGAATATTTTACATATTCGTTGTGGAATATTTATACAATATAGTGTAGAATAGTACAGATACAATATTTATATGTTATTATACATTTTACTGTACACAGCGGAAATATATTTAGAAGAGAACACAGCTTGAAAAGTCATATTAACCGAGCCGATAGACGAGTCCAATATGACTTTTCAAGCTGTATACGAGTCCAAATATATTCCGTATTGTACAGTAAAATGATTGCTTTACTGTGCTGTTAATTTTGTCTACTCATGGATCATGACTGTAATATGTTATATATATCATTTAACATATACTTGAAATTTTATTATTTAAAACATAAAAATGTGAACAAACATGCTATTTTCTCTCTTATTTGTATTACAGTTTATGAAGGGGCAGTCATTCCTGGTGAGTGTTATACAATGTTAAATGCTGCATTTGCCCCTATCTTACCAATAAACATTTTTTTAGCAAATGAACGAAGATTAATTTTGTCATTTAATAATATTTCTTAATAAAATGATTCTAAACAGTTTTGTGAATTAATAATGTAAAATTGATATGTTTATTTAAAGTGACATATGTCCATTCATGGATATATATTAAGTGAACATGGGAAAGACAAAATACGTTTACATTTTGCTATATTTCCTTTCAATTCTATAATATACTTCACGTAAATGGTAAACAACTCTCATGGTCCAATAAAAGTTCTGTAAATAACAACGGGAATTTACTTTAAACGTTCAGTGGAGCAGTCTTTTTTGTACTTCAGGCAGATTTATATTTTACCCAAAACATTTTCCAATATCAAACTGAATTATTCTACTTTAATGTAAATAAGAAAAAATGAAAAATTTGATATTGGTAAAATAATATAAAAGATAATTTTTCAGCTGTAACGCACTGGGGATATGGAGATTATAACGGTAAGGACATCTAGATTTTATAATTGTTGTATTTCATCGATTCCTTAAAGGCCTTATTTTAAAATCATATTTTGTTTATATATCAATATAAATTATTAAACATCTATGTTAAAGCATTTTGTTTGATAGATGGTATAAATGATTAGTTTGGTTAAACTTTAATTATTTAGTAAATTTACATGTTTTTATATTTAGAGTTGTATTGCAACATTTTTTTAGAAAATGATTTTTATGCCTTTGTCAAATTTCTACCATTAAGGACCAGAAGAGTGGCCGGAACTATTTCCAAACAAATGCGCGGGAAAATACCAATCACCAGTCAATATACGTCCGCGGAAAACAAAGTTTAAACCAAATTTAAGTAAATTCATCTTCTACGATCCGCCATATTGGGGAGCAAGATATTTTGCCCACAACAATGGACACACAAGTAAGAGTTTAATACTATATATCTAATGCTCATGTGGTAATGATGTAATTTGAATTTTATTGTCAACCATGCTGAACTTTGCTGAATTGCCTGCAATACATTATTTTTCCTAGCATTAAAACAATATATGAGCCGCGTCACGACAAAACCAACGTAATGCGTTTGCGACCAGCATGGATCCAGACCAGCCTGCGCATCCGCGCAGTCTGATCAGGATCCATGCTGTTCGCTTACCAACCCTTTAACAAGTAGAGAAACTGATAGCGAACAGCATGGATCCTGATCAGACTGCGCGGATGCGCAGGCTGGTCTTGATCCATGCTGGTCGCTAAACCATTATGTTGGTTTTGTCGTGACGCGGCTCATATTATTAAGCATTTAACACCGTCAATAGTTTGTAGCATCTATGATTGAATTCAGGCTTTTTATATAGAAAACGTTTTTTTTTCTGTAAAAATATATTATGTTTGACATTCGAAAATGATAAATAATATCACAATTTAAATTTCAATATCTACAATCTATTTTAAAGCCAATGTAAAATAATTCACAATTAATAACTGTAAATAACTGTTATCATTTTTGCCTTTAAACCAGTTCAAGTCAATACATGGGGTCTACATCTACTTGCCAATGGAGGGCTGAATCACACGTACAGGATTGCCCAGTTTCATTTTCACTGGGGTGATGAAAACGACCAAGGTGCTGAACATACAGTTAATGAAAAAGCCGCCCCAATGGAGGTGAAATTTTTAACAGACTTTTCATGACAATTTTTAAAACATATATTGTTTAAAGATTAAATTATTTTTATTGTCTATTGTACTTACTTTACAACTTAAATACCCCTGGCATACTTTATTTGCAATTTGGAAGCAATTTCATTTTATCCTCTTTAAAGAGTATTTTGTACTGGAGTTTTATTCTTATTTGCTAAATATTTGGAAAATTAAGAGGTATTCGGTTTTCTATCAGCCGGTCTCTTAAAAGAAAGAAAAAAAGATATCTCTCACTTTCATTGTGAACTTTTATCACTAGGTTAGAATTCAGTTAATTTCAATTAAAATCCAATAACAATGATAACATTTATTTTTTATTTTTCTGCATCTAGATGCATATTGTAAGCTGGAATCATGAAAAGTATGAAAGTATAAAAGACGCAGCAAAGGCTCCTGATGGTTTGGCTGTGCTGGGGATTTTGTTTAAGATTTCACACCGAGATAACCCCTTATTTGAACCTCTAATTCATGCTATTCCGAGCATACGCGATCCAGGTAATTTGTTAGATAAATCAATCTTCTTTCTGGATCATTTTAACGTTTTGGAACTGAAATGTCAGGACTGTATTAATCATTTAACAATCTTTAAAATGTTAAAACAAAGTGATAACAGGCGAACCAATCTTTTGAAATATTTATTTTTTTCTTAAAAATAGTTAAGTGATTTGAATATGTTAACTTGATTTAGAAGCAGTATCCAGCAGCTATTTTTCAAAAGATCGAACCATTATATTGTCACAACAACATTTTCTTATATGAAACCGGCCAGCAATGATTGAAGGAGACTAAAATACTCTAATATACATTTTCTTGTCAACATTTTTTCAACTCAGATTGGAACAATCAAGTAGAAATTGCAGTTGTGCCAATAAGGAATTATCTACCACACTCGCCAGAAAAGTACTTCCGGTACCGTGGCTCATTAACCACACCAAGGTGTTACGAAAGTGTTACCTGGACAGTGTTTCGAGAAAAACAAAATATTTCGAAGAGACAGGTAAATAAAAGTTTTTTTTATAATAAGTTTATTGATAACAGGATAAATAAAGGTAAAAGTTTATGAAGAAAAAAATGTATTAACATTTAGTTCAGAACGTTATATGTCGCATTGTGGCGCCGTTATATGTCGCAACGCCGCTAAATGTCGCACTTACCGCTAAATGTCGCAAGTGCCGCTAAATGTCGCAAAATCATTTGCCGTTAAATGTCGCAATGTTAACGTTAAATGTCGCACGAATTTCCGCTACCGTTAAATGTCGCAACACTACCGTTAAATGTCGCAAGATATAAATTCATGTTAAAATCATGATTAAAAGCAGTAGTATTTTAATTTAAAACGCTCTCATAGTTATTTTTACTGTAATTGCCATTTAACAAAAAGTATCTTTGTTTTAATTGTTTTCTTTTATGAACCTAAATATCGAGGATTTGAGCTGCTATATAATGTAATATTGACGCTAGAAAGCGTATTCTAGAAAGATACAATTGAAATTCAAGTCTCAATAGATAAGTATTTTTCTTTTGTCTCCCTTTTTCATTTATAACCCTGATTGACAACATCTTAAAAGTATTATGATATTGTCGCGATCAGAATTCGTTTTAAGTAATTTCATTGATTTGAAGACCTTTTTTCTTGCTAGTACTAATAGTAATACAGTCATACTAGGCCGGTTTAAGCCCCATTTACACAGTCCCGGTTTGATGTCCCGGTTAGCCACGGTTTAGTCAACCATGATCAACCGTGGTAAACCGGCGTTGGGTCGTTAAAATTCCGTGAAGTAAAGGGACAAACCATAGTAAACCGGAACAAACTGAGAGATCACCACGGCTGTCTTCAAATGTTTAATACAACCGGGGCTCACCGGCACTCACCGAGAGGAAGCCCAAACCCGTGTTCTATCGGCTTGGAACAGGGAATTGCTGGGAAACCACCGTATCTATACTGCACCCATACCGTGACAAATCGTAGTAAACCGGGATGCGTGTCAATCAATGTCCAAACGGCAAAGTCCCGGTGATGACACGATGTTGCCACTGTAAAACAGGCAGAGCTACGGTAGAGCCAGGGTACATTGAGGTCACTGACAACAACGCTCCGGTTGGAGCCGGTAATGTCCCGATAATTGCAGACAAGTATGGTTATACAACGATGATAGACGGTGGTGTAACGACCTCATGCCGATACAGGAAATTTAAAGAACAGGAATATATAAACTTGAAGTGCTACTTTGGATCATTTTGTTTAGAGAAGGAACACGAGCATGGACAATTTGTTAAATGAGAGAAGGAAAAATTCTTCAGCTGGTGCATTTTCAGCTTCAGGTACCTAAACTTCTGAAGGTGTTGTAGACACAGTTTTTTTCTAACTTTCATCCCCTTTCCTTCGGATGGTATCTCTTCTGTCTTTTTACCAAATGACTGATGTCAACGTGGTCAGTCAGTTTTATTCTCATAAACTTGAACAGGAAGCATCGGTGCATTACCAGGGCGTCGCCGGCACAGTGCCGGCATCACCAATAGCATTACCGTGGCAAAAACGGCGATGATCGGGATGGACCGTGATGAAACCGTGTCTTGTCGGGTTTCCACCGGAATCAAGCGGGAATACACCGATTTAGCATCGGCGCTTATCGTATATATCCGGTGCTATATCGGGTTCTGAACCGGGAATACACCTGGGCTCTGTCGGGGATGTGTAAACGCAATTTGATTTCTCAGAAAAACACCACGGAACACCTCGGTTCACCAGCTTAAGACACATTAGCGATACCGTGGCCATTACCGGGACAGTGTTAATTTGGGCTTTATCAAACGGAACCTGCAACATTTTCAATTTTGCCGTTTTGGACTTTCTTTAGGGGTTCTTTTTTTCTCTATTTTATCAATGACTGATGTTTCTCGACACACATCTGAACAACTTAAGTATTCAAGGAAACCCCACTGATCTGGGGCCCAAAGACCAAACAATTTTCATACAGTAAACCGGTGACATAACAATTAAGCTGATGCTTATGAAAGATTATACTTGAATGTCGAATATGATATCATTTAATTGTGGTTACTTTGTTTCGCTAATATGTTTGTTAATACAACCGCAGCCAATGCATTTAAATTTAATAGACTACAATGTACAGATAATTTCAACATGATAAAAGTTCAAATCTTATGTTTACTTGTAGCGTTAGTTAGGAGCTGATTTTATTAATCAGGTTGCTCTAATAATTAATGTACATGCGGTTGTTATCTATCTTCCGATAATGTCAAACCCCTCGCGGGGACGTAAAAAATGGTTAACTTGGGTTTTGACATTGCCTTGTTTTGAAATGTTCAACGGGTTTCCAAATGCAATCACTTATGACTTGCATACTTAAGGGAATTAGGCTCCGGAAACTGATATGTGTTTGATGTTTGATATAATTGTATATCATATGTCATTACTTTTAGCTATTGTTTAACACAATATTTGCATTTATATCAAAAGGTATGAGTGGCCTCCGTGACCAAATGACAGCTAACTATTTACTCCCGAGAAATGATTTTCTTTCATTAATGAAAAGCTAAACGTGTCGGCGTTGGTTAACCTTTTTGGTTATGTTTTCGATTATGTTTTCGCCTTGTTACGGCTTATTGCTCAAAAATTCAAACATATTCACTTAAAACATAAAATACCTATTTTATATAAAAGTAAAATGCATTTCTAAAGGAATTAAGATGATCTTGCAAGGCATTTCTCCCTTTTTATATTTTCCCCAAAACCATCACAAATATTCATTTCAAACTTGAAATATTGATTGAATATCAAGACAAAAATTTCATTTTAACAGAAACGGCAAATATGTGAAAAACATGCACAGTATGAAATGCACGGTCAACACGAAAATCGACAGACAAGCTTGGTCTTATTCGAAATGGGAAATGTTTTGGGCCATTTTGATATCTTGCATTTAGCATTCGTATAGGACTCCTTGATCATTTAGTATTCCTCTAGATATGAGCGAATTTCACGATTAGCAAATATTATCATATTATATGCCGGCAGTTGAGTAATCAGATGTCAAAATAAGAAAACGTACAGAAAATTTAGTACATTTTACCATTTGTCAAACACTATTTACGCTTGGACATTGTGGCAAGTGATATTTTACTCGTCAAGTCGCTTTATACTATGATAGATTCTCGAAGAATTTCATTAAATAAGAATAGATTTTTTTTTAATCATACTGTCAGAGTTCTAATCAAGTTTAAAAAACCTTGATTTTAATAACTGTCAAATAAAAACAATGACTTATAAAAACAAAAACTTTAATATAGACATAAAAATTCATAGCCCTATTTTAATTTTACAAACCATGAATCAGCAAATAAGAACTCTTGCTGAGATTTGAACTCAGAACTCCTCTTATGTATGTGATACAATAAAGAGGCATTTTGACAATTAAACTACAAGAGCTTAAAATTTATGGCTGGTTATTAAAAGATTAACATTCTTCCTACTTTTTTACATCTATATATAGTTTTCAAATTGCCAAATTTAGGTCTATTATAAATGAAAAACTGGCCAAAATTCATAATTTTATCCTGAAAATTCTTTTTTAAAACTTATTTAAAGGATTTTTCAGAATCATTTCAACTATTTAGTACATAAGAATAAAAAAACAACAACAAAAAAACACACACAATTAAAATGTTTCTTTTTCATATGATTACACATTTCTAAAAGATTTTGTAAAATTTTCTATTCCTTATGGTTCTTATTTTACCAATCTAAGGCATGAGCTGTTCTGATGAATAAAAAAAACAACACTAAATTGAATTATCAACAGGAATAAATTCTGTCATGTACGTTAATTTTGCTTCTATAGGAGAAGCAAGTAAATGACTGCATACATTGTGTGAAAATGTAACAAATTCGAAAAAATTTACGGAACTAAATTTCAACATTGGAACTGTGACGTCATATGATGAAGTCTTGAAAAAGAACGCATGACGTTATGCGGCAAAACAAGTAAAAATGACTTAAAATCACTAAAACGACTGGTTTGACAATTTTGCTTGTAAAATATATCAGAATGATAAGAACTAGTCGATAACAGAAAAAATCGATAACAGGATAAATAGAATGATTGGTCCTATGGCTGGAGAACTGTCTGACCAAAGGCTCACCCAATAAATTCCTCCGCCTCGCCAGATCCAAGGCACCAACCTATTAATTATTCTCTATCACTTCAGACATCAAGACAATGGTGAACAATGCAATCAAAAATGTAAAAATGTTTAGTGATATGTAAAATAACATTGATAATACAAATACAAGATTCATTTCCCCCCCTCTGCTTTTACCATGGCTTGGGACATGCTAGAAGTTAAAACTGCACACATCCAGATATTTTACTTTCTTCAAAAATCAATCAAAATTTAGGAAAAAGTAAAAAAAAAACAGATATGCATACTTCTTTGATTCAATTCAAAATTAGCTTTTACAAAATTTAAAAGTATTGTTATATTAATTCTAACCACTTATTAAAGGAATAATATTGACCCAATGTTACAAATATTTTAATACATAAAAGGAAATAAATATAACTCTTACTTATGGCTTAATAGTAAATTTTTGTAGTTTTCTGAACTTCAAATCTAAATATTTAACTTAATGATGGAACATATAATTATTTTCATTTAAAACAATATGAATCTGGAAGTGTGCTGTTTTACACTAGGCAGTATTGGGAGAAGTGTAGCTATTGACCTTTTTGACACATACTGTTTTCCGGTAGTTACAGATTTAGCTCTGGGGGATTACACCTAATGAAGTATATACACCTTATGAAGTTTATAGAGGATATTCAATTTTTTTTATAAATACACAATTTATTTCATTGAGTGGTATGAAAACAAATATTTCATGAGTGGCTACCGCCACGAGTGAAATATGATACTTTTCATACCACAAGATGAAAATAAATCCTGTATTATAGAAAAAGTCTTGAATTTTCTGTTTATTATATACATTTTTTATATTAAAATTTGAAAGATTACTTCTTAAATTTTGTTCATTGGCTGAATTTAGAAGAAAGTAATCCGGCAAGACACAAGTAAAAATATGTAAAATATGTTTAACTGCAGTGAAAAATATATCTTTTACAGTGAAAAATACGGAAAATGAAAATACAAATTTTATTTCATATTTCATTTATCAGTATATAATAAACGCCATTATTATGTGATATATCTATTTTTTATAATTATTTTAGAGTTTCAGGTGGTTACTATCTATCGCATATTTTACACATTTGAGCCGCGTCATGACAAAAACAATATAGTGGGTTTGCGACCAGCATGGATCCAGACCAGCCTGCGCATTTGTGCAGTCTGATCAGGATCCATACTGTTCGCTTACAAACCCTATAACAAGTAGAGAAACTGATAGCGAACAGCATGGATCTTGATCAGACCGCGCGGAAGCGCAGGCTGGTCTGGATCCATGCTGGTCGCAAACTCTATATGTTGGTTTTGTCGTGACGCGGCTCATTTATTTGTTGATGTGTTAGAATTGAAATAAGATATCCAAATCTGTGATTTTATAGCTTGATAAAATAATTGTTTGTCATTTAGATGTGCTCATTATATCACTCGGGCTATGACCTTGTGATATTATCACATCCAAACTCCAAACAGTTTTGTTTAGCTATAAAATCACCGTTTGAGATATATTATTTCTTTAAGTTTAAGCAGAAAATCTCATTTTATTTCATGGAATTATTAATACAATGATATTCTAATTATGCCCCCATTTCGAAGAAAAGGGGGTATATTGCTTTGCACTTGTCGGTCCGTCGGTCTGTCGGTCCGTCGGTCCGTAGACCAAATGGTTTCCGAGTGACAACTATAGAACCCTTAGGCCTAGGAACTTCAAACTTGGTATGGTGATTGGTCATGACAAGTAGATGACCCCTATTGATTTTGGGGTCAAGGGGTCAAAGGTCAAGGTCACATTGACCTTGTAAGCAAAAACGGTTTCCGATCAATAACTAAAGAACCTTAAGGCCTAGGAACTTCAAACTTGGTATGGTGATTGGTCATGATCAGTAGATGACCCCTATTGATTTTGGGTCTAGGGGTCAAAGGTCAAGGTCACATTGACCTTTGTAAGCAAAAAACGGTTCCGATCAATAAGTAAAGAACCTTAAGGCCTAGGAACTTCAAACTTGGTATGGTGATTGGTCATGATCAGTAGATGACCCCTATTGATTTTGGGGTCAAGGGGTCAAAGGTCAAGGTCACATTGACCTCTTGGGTAAAAACGGTTTCCGATCAATAACAAAAGAACCCTTAGGCCTAGGAACTTCAAACTTGGTATGGTGATTGGTTATGACCAGCAGATGACCCCTATTGATTTTGGGGTTAAGGGGTCAAAGGTCAAGGTCACATTGACCTTGTAGGTAAAAACGGTTTCCGATCAATAACGAAAGAACCCTTAGGCCTAGGGACTTGATATGGTGATTGGTCATGATCAGTAGATGACCCCTATTGATTTTGGGTCAAGGGGTCAAAGGTCAAGGTCACATTGACCTCTTAGGTAAAAACAGTTTCCGATCAATAACTAAAGAACCCTTAGGCCTAGGAACTTCAAACTTGGTATGGTGATTGGTCATGACCAGCAGATGACCCCTATTGATTTTGGGGTTAAGGGGTCAAAGGGCAAGGTCACATTGACCTTGTAGGTAAAAATGCTTTCCGATCAATAACTTAAGAACCCTTAGGCCTAGGAACTTCAAACTTGGTATGGTGTTTGGTCATGACCAGCAGATGACCTATTGATTTTGGGGTCAAGGGGTCAAAGGTCAAGGTAACATTGACCTTGTAGGTAAAAACGGTTTCCTATCAATTAACTAAAAACGCTTAGGCCTAGGAACTTCAAACTTTGTATGATGATTGGTGGTGACCAGCAGATGACCCCTATTGAGTTTTGGGTCAAGGGGTCAAAGGTCAAGGTCACATTGACCTTGTAAGTAAAATGGTTTCTGATCAATAACTTAAGAATGCTTAGGCCTAGGAACTTCAAACTTGGTATGGTGATTTTTCATGACCAGCAGATTTCCCCTATTGATTTTGGGTTCAAGGGTCAAAGGTCAAGGTCACATTGACCTTGTAAGTAAAAACGGTTTCTGATCAATAACTAAAGAACGCTTCGGCCTAGGAACTTCAAAATTGGCATGGTGATGGTCATGACCAGCAGATGACCTCTATTGATTTTGGGGTCAAAGGTCAAGGTCACATTGACCTTGTATGTTAAAACGGTTTCGGATCAATAATAAAAGAACCCTTAGGCCTAGGAACTTCAAACTTGGCATGGTGATTAGTCATGACCAGCAAATGACCCCTATTGATTTTGGGGTCAAGGGGTCAAAGGTCAAGGTCACATTGACCTTGTAGGTAAAAACGGTTTCTGATCAATTAACTAAAAACGCTTAGGCCTAGGAACTTCAAACTTTGTATGATGATTGGTCTTGACCAGCAGATGACCCCTATTGAGTTTTGGGTCAAGGGGTCAAAGGTCAAGGTCATGACCAGTAGATACTTGATAACCCTTATTAATTGTTTGATCACTGGGTCAGAAGTCATGCATAATAACCTTATCACATTAATAATTGGCTGCTGATAGGGGGCATACATGTTTTACAAACATATCTTGTTATTTTCTAACAATGAAATAATTGTTTTATTTCACTTTAATCCCAAAAAGGCCTAAAACATACAGATTGTTACAATATTACACAACATTTAGGTGAATTCCCGAGAGCTATGTACAGAAAGTACCGGAAATGGTGTTTAGCTAGTTTTTCAAAATATTAACCTTTGATTGAAGCTCTGAAGAATGGTAAGTCTGTCACTGTAAGTCTATAGTTTATAAAGTCGTGTGTTTTGGTTTTGCTACACATCCCCCACCATTCCATAATCAGAGCTTCAATATCCAATATCCATGTCTGACCAATAACCGGAGAAAGTTTTGGTCAATGATTGGGCTTTTAAAGTTAATCATGCCAAGTAGTTAAAGAAGTTAATTGGTCAACTAGGGAAAGCCATGGCTTATGGTCATCAGATTGGTCAACTAGGGAAAGCCATGGCTTATTGTCATCAAATGAGGTGGTCAGGTTGGTAATGACTGGTAGATTTATCATTGATTAAGTTCAAGGCAAGGTAAATATCATCATAAGGGTGTTCAGATCAATAATTCAGGAACACTTTGACCCATTAAGATTAGATGTACAGGTTTGTCATGACTAGTAGATGTTCAGGTCAATAAATGTAGAACACTGTAAAAATAAGTAAAATAGATGAGTAAAGATAAATTAAAAGTCAGAACAGTTTATTAAAGAAATAACATTAAAAAAACCGCATGGTCTGCACTTCCCCTTCATGGTAGAACTGGCCTAAAAGTGTAGAACAGTTGTTAAAGATAAAAAAACACTATATAAAATTGAGCTGAAGTAGAAAAAAAAATTAAAGTAGATAAACTGCATGGTCTGCACTTCCCCTTCATGATGGACCTGGGCAAAAAGTGTAGAACAGTTGTTAAAGATAAAAACACTATATAAAATTGAGCTGAAAAAGAAAAAAAAAATTCAAGCAGATAAACTGCATGGTCTACACTTCCCCTCATGGTAGAACGGGCCAAAAGTGTAGAACAGTTGTAAAGATAAGTTTATACAATTAGAAG